GTGCCCGCCACCACCACCACCACCCCGCGCGGTGGCGCCGACGGCACCGGCACGGTCGGGCGTCGGCATTGCTTTCCCCGCAGCACGGAGCGGCAGTGAGATGCGAGGAGAGCTCCGGCGAAACGCTACGCCATTTGGGCGTCGGTTGGGCTGGTGCGTGGTGTGCGTGTGCGTGCGAATTATGGCGGTATGGTTCGGAGATTTCGCCTTTTTGGTTGGATCCCTGGAGGATTTCACGGGAAGGGAGAGAGAGAGCCGCGACCGAGTAGCCGAGTAGGGGAGGAGAACTGGGAGGAGAGGGTGGGTGGCGAGTGGCCTCGCGCTCGTGCCGGGTGTAGGAACGGGCGGTGCTTTCGGGGCTCGCGCCCGCGTCGCCGGGGCAGGAAGGGATAGAGTACGGCGCGGGGGAAGCGGATCCGCGGCTCGGCGACGGGGGCGGCGGTGTCACTGACTGAGTCACTGGTGTGGGCACGGAGACCGGGTTTGGCACAAGCGCGCGGCCGCGGCTGGGAGGGGGCGATTCACTGTGGTGCGTTCGCTCCAGTGGCATTGGCGGCTTGTTGCTGGAATTCTGCCGTGGTTGTCGTGTCGTCCGCGTCAGCGGGTGTTAATAGGAAGGCGAGCTGTTTGGTGACATGACGCGACGCCACCAACATGTACAGTTTGCTCCAATAGAACAGCTCTGTTCGAGTATAGTACTAGGAGTATAGTGCTACGTAGCTTTAAACAAACAACCATTGCGTGATGCGATTAGCCGATTATTACTCCACAGTAACAAAGCTTCTGCAGTTGACGCAGCGGCGGAGCACGTGAGGTTGGAGCAAACTTCGCGTGCACAAAGCAGCCATCCGGCCGGTAAAAGAAAATGCGTGATGGTGGTGAGCAGGCAGCGGAGTCCTTGCCGCAGGCCCAAGTAACCGTACTTTGTACCTGATCGGACGCAAGGGGCTGTAACTGTACTCTGTACAAGATCGGACGAGTTAACGTTGGCGTGTACTGACACGGTAGGGCCCAAGGACAGTCAATCACGCTGGCGGGTGGAGACCACCACGGGGTTTGATTTCCCATCGCGCGCAATGATTCGGGGCTCCGGAGCGGGGATCTGATGCCCCTCATCAATTGCCCCGGCCGGATAGCGACGGCCACGGCAGACTGACGAGTCGAGCGGCAGGAAGTCGCACGTGGTTGCCTGTCTCGCCGGACGTTGGCCTATACGATCAGCCGGGACGCGCTGGCCGGCAGGATTGCTCAGCCCAGCTCCCCACTCGCGTAGTAGTAGGAGTGTAGGACAAGTGACCGGCTGCCGATGCGGCACGATCACGGTGGCGACGAGACGACTATTGAAATCCAAGCGGAGCAGGAGGGTGTGTGTCATCGTCACCGTCTCCGCGCGGCGCTATCACGGGCTAACGCTAGCTTAACAAATCATCAAGAATCTGTGGGGGCATCGGACACCACACACCAGTAGGAGGAGACGTGCGTTTTCGCTTCTCTGCCGGCTCAGCGCGTGGCAAGAGGGCGCTGAAAGCGAGGAGAGGCCCATACCCAGGATACCCTCCTGCGGCCTGCGGCTGCCGCCGTTCAGGTGCAGACGCGCAGCACACTTCCGAAATCAAAGGGAGAGCGTCTGCAGACACCATACCACCAACAAGAACCCTGTACAGAGCATAGCAACTGCATGAGATAGGTTCCGCACCGGCTACGGCTACCACATTAGGAGCAAACATAATAATACAGCCAGCTGCTTAGTTATAATTTATCTATCAGCTCACTTATATAGTGGTTAACTCTTCACTATAAACATATAGTCCACATGTCTGTCTTACAGATTTTTTTGGTTCCTGTGCCTAAGCCGGCTGTAAACTTACAGCCTGCTTCTCATCTCTCTCCTCTCCTCTCTCATCCACATCAGTATTCAGTCTTCTTATAGCTCTCTATTATCAATTCGGATCCTCTGCATTAGAGGTACTAATGCAGAGGATGAACAGTACCACGCATTAGAATCACTGTGGACCGTCGGATCAAGAGTGAAAAGACCAGATTGTGTGCTACAGTAAATTCTGAACGGTACCAAATAATACGCTAAAGTGTTTTGAATCCTGTAGCTACAGTAAATCGACACTGTTCATGGCATTAGCTAACTGTTCCCCTCACATGAACAGTGCTCTTCTGCATTACGGCAGACGATCCGGATCCCTCTATTATACTTGCTCTTAGTGGTTGTAGGAGTATGGTACAGAGACCGTAGTTTGTGTTCACTGGTGACCAGTGAGTACGTACTACTACTCAACGAAGCATGCCGTAGTGAGGTACTGGCTGTTTATACACGACCTCTGACTGCGCAATAACTATGCTGGTACCATGTGATTCATCAATTTACTGTGCACTGTACGTTTTTAACTTTTAGCGGCAGGAAATCGTCTGATGTTTTACTGTCGTCCAAATAAAATCGTTTACTATCGGATGCAGGTGTGTGTGGTACACCAGCAAAAGGTAAAGAGTAGAGAGCAGTAGTGCATTGCCTGGCAGCGAGTCCCTCAAATCTAAAATCTTTCTGGCTACTCAATCTATTGAGAGCGAGACATCTTCCAAATGAAATCCTAACAACCACTCTAGCATAATCAAGTAAGAAAAAAAGAACCAATTTTCGCCAGCAAAAGTTGTTGGCAGGGACACACCCAAGCTTAAATCACTTGATTAATACCCCTAGTACTACTATAGCAAAACTAAATCTTAGTAGACACTATGATTAGAGGCGAGTAGGAGTTTGATAATATGGTCCAACATATGGATAAAGTTGTGGGCTATTGCAGTACTTAAAACTAGAGCAGTTAGCTCTAGCAGCTCTAGGAAGAATCCTTGCCTAATCTCATCTCTGCATAAAACTACACCACTTCAGCTGGGACTTGGGAACCAGCACTCCAATCAGACGAGGCTTGATGTCCAGCTCTTCATCGTGGGTGCCACAGAAGTTATAGTAGCTTTTCACATCTCCAATCTCCATGCACATGGCACCTCGATCGGCCGGATAAAAGTTGCTTTGGAGTTCTTTCTCTCGCACTTCACCACACTGCACTGAGCTCACTCATCAGTGGCCAGGCTTTTTATTCCTCCTGCCTTATTAGCTTTTGCTTTCCTAGGCTTGATTTTGTACTGTTTCCTGCAACTAGTCATAAACTGACAGTTTGGTAGGAGCAAAGCGTGCACGGGGCAGCATATTATAAATGGTCTTTGTCTGTAGCTGTAGGCCACGCATTTTTGTGCTACTGATATCAACGTGTTTATTATGTGTGTCATGGAATCTATTAGTACTGTTTATGAAATAAAATAGGGTAGGTTTATAGAATCCAGATAGATTATTGTACTCGCTGTAACTGACCATACTAGTATTTCTTCCCTTGATGCAATAAAGTCTAGTGATATCTAAGTTATTTTAAGCAAGATTCCTGCTCTAGTGTTAGACTGTTCGACTGTTTTAACGAGGTCAAGAACACTACGGCCAACCGTGTCGGTTTTAACATGGCAATTGTCAAAGATACTAGTAGTACTTTGAAGTTGAACAACACTGCAAGAAGCATCCTAGGCCCAGAGACTGGAATGCTGGTCCAACCAACTGCTCCTGCTAACCAGCAAGCTTCTACATCCTGATCCATTTACACACACTACATGAACCCAAAAGTTAAGATCATGTGATCCTTCACGATAAAACTTGAGCGCTAGTCGGATCTCAGATCCGGCATACGATCGAGCACAAGGAATCCTATACAAATCATTCGTAGCAAAGGTCCTACACCCTGCTGCTCTGAAGTCTGAACTCTGAAGTCTGAACTCTGAAGGATGCACCCTTCCAAATTAAGTTTCTTGGATACTTCCAGTAATGGCCGATGTCTAATGTTTGTTTGATCATCCCGCAATGCCGATAGCTCACCTGTGTTTCTTTTCCCCCCAACTATAATGGTGAGTTTGAGGAGAGGAGATTGAGAAGAATTGAAAGATATGTAAAACAAGGTGAGCCATTAGCGCATGATTAATTGAGTATTAACTATTTTAAATTTCAAAAATAGATTAATATGATTTTTTAAAGCAACTTTCCTATAGAAAACTTTTGCAAAAAAATATACCGTTTAGTAGTTTGGGAAGCGTACTCGCGGAATACGATGGGCTTTCTCACCCAATCCCTAGTAACGAACGCACTCTAAAGGGAGAAGAAAATTGATGCCCGTGAATCCAGGCATCATCATGCATTCTGCAGTCTGCAGTGCTCAGGCCCTGTTTAGATGGGACTAAAACTTTTAAGTCCCTATCACATCGGATGTTTGAAAATTAATTATAAATATTAAACGTAGACTATTAATAAAACCCATCCATAATCTTGGACTAATTTGCGAGACGAATCTAATGAGCCTAATTAATCCATGATTAGCTTATGTGATGCTACAGTAAATATTCTCTAATTATAGATTAATTAGGCTTAAAAAATTTGTCTCGTGAATTAGCTTTTATTTATGTAATTAGTTTTGTAAGTAGTCTATATTTAATACTCTAAATTAGTGTCTAAAGACAGGGACTAAAGTTAAGTCCCTGGATGTAAACACCACCTCACTTTACAGACCTGAAAGAAACTTCTGTCAGAGATAGTATGCATCTACACCTAGTAAATGTCAGAGATGTATCCTGTAGGTACGCGACTTGCACGACAGAAAGCAATGGAGCTATCAGGCGAAACCACCAGCATCAATTTTCTGAAAACGCAGCAGGTGAAAGTGTGCTGGACACAGCAATGCCGGATCCTGCTTCTTTGACAAAAGACCATCCACAACCACCAGAGGAAATAACACTGGACACAGCAATGATGGCAGATCCCGCTTCCAGTACTTGCTAACATGCACTGCACCATTGAAGACTAAAGCAAAGATTATGCAGTTCTCAGACAGCATATTGTTTCGCATTACGATCAAAACAACTAATGCACCAAAGTTTATTGCATTCTCACACGCGTGTTTGAAAACGCAACAAGTCAACTTTTACTGTGAATCGGGGCTCACTGTTATTGATGTAGTCTTACAGCCCAATAAAGTGTATACAGGAGTCAGGTCAAGATGATATAGGAGTACCAGAATTAAAGTGCGAACAATATCTTCATTCAAATTTCGAGCAAGTCAAAGACTGATGTCAGTGAACAAATGAGATTTACATAATTTACATGGGCCCTTCAAATTATATTACTTAGCCTTCCCTGATCAAATTTGTTGGCTCACTCAGAACATACTTTGGTAATTCATATTTGGCACCTGCAAGACGATTTCCAAGAACAGAGTTAATGCAGCACTCAGAGCATGACTAAGGAAAGCAAACATGAGTACCAAATAATTGAGCAGAGATAAACGGAGCTTCAGGGTTGAAAAGCTTGATTATTGGTTGTCAGCTTGATGAGAGGGATAGAGTAGCATGGCCGCACAATAGGAAGAAGACCTTCTCTACTAAATCCATGTACAGAATTATGACCTTTGGTGGAGTAGGATATAAAAATGATGGAGGTGTGGAATTAAAAATCAAGCTTTTCCTACATTTGGTAGGGAGGAATAGGCTGCCTTGTGCTTCTCAGCTAATTAAGAGGAGTTGGAGAGGGGGTGATGAGTTCTGCAAACTGTGTAAGAAAATTGAAACCACCAATCATATTTTATTTAGGTGTCCTCTGGCCATCTTTGCTTGGTGTATTACCAAAGAAGTTTTGGGCCTGGAAAAAAATCCCTGGTAACATCTGGGAGGGTTGATGAGGGAGAAGAAAATTTCCAGGGTTTGGATTGTGTTAGTGGCTATTATTTGCTGGGGGTTGTGGATGGTTAGAAATGATTGGGAATTTGAAAACATTCTTGTGAATTCTCCTCTGCAGATCATTTACAAATCTATATCCTTTATAAAAATGGAGCATCTTGCTAGGGGGAGAAGATCAAGTGCCTTTGGAAGATTGGTGTAAGGCTATCCTGGAGAGGTTACAGCAAGTGAGACCGCGGGTTTTGCCAGATGTTATTTAGCTTTTTCCGTAGCTGTTTTCCTTGCTTGGTGGTGGTGGCTGTAAAGTTTCTGCTTTGAGGAGTTGGTTGCTGTCTGTGGCTTGGTGCGGTCCTTGTTAGCTGGTGTTCCCAGCCGTAGTTCTTAGTGGTTGTTTTTCTGCTTTTGTTTTGTTTCCTGTAAATGACTCTGTATGCTTTGGGCTTTCTCAAAAAGCCGGGTCAATATATTGATCTGTTCTAAAAAAACAAAAACAAAGAACGAATTTTCACCTCTTTCATCGTAGCAAATTGTCATGTCAGAATTTGATACAATGATTCCGGCACTGTCCACTATCGTTTGTGCAAGAGATAACTCAGCTTCTGCAGCAGCTCGAAGCGCATCCCAAATCTCTGGCAGAATACAAGTAAAAACACAATAACTATTTTCCCTTGAACTTTGTTGTTATTCAACAATAACTATGTATTTCACCAGTATGAGAAATAAACAGTTTATGATGTAAAACATCTATAACACACCTTTGCTAAATTAAAAAAACATTTAAAAACTGCTAATTGAGAAGCAAATCCATAATGATTTTGTATGGTCAGACCAAGTACAAACCTTCAGAAATACCCACTCCATACGTGACTTGTATCAATAATACTAAGGGTGTTGAATCTTAAAAAGATAAAATTCTTGTTTGCCATTTTTGTTTTGCAAATCATTTTTATCCACTTTAACTACTATAAGTGAACATGTCAAATTTAACAGAAGGATTTCAAAGAACTTAATCACACACGTCTGATAAACACCTAAATAGAAAAATCAGCACTACCTGGGCATTCACCTTCAAAGAAATTAATCACACACATGCACTATTTAGCAAAACTATGTCAAATTCGACTACTTTGAAGCATACATGTAGTAATAAAAAATACAAAACTGACAACACAGTACCTTTCTGCCCACCATAATGTGGAGCAGTGTCCCAGAATTCATCACGCATCTGTTTGAGTTGTGTTGTTGTTATTGCTTGATTGTGCTTCCAAGGCTTGGGCTTTTTCAGCTTCTTGCTGTTATCTGGACTCAAGAGAAGGAATTGAACATTAACAACTCAACACGTCCAAGTGCAATGATGCATTATAACTAAATCATTGTAAATAAGCAATGCACTTAACCTAAATCAGATAGTACTGCTTATCAAGCAAATATCTTCAGTGGGAACACACTTTAAAAAGAGGCAGAAGTATACAGAGAGATGAAAACTAACAATTATACTTCCAACAGTTGCAAATATGGGAGATGCCATATTTGTATATACTTTTTTTTGTTAACAATGCTCCAAGCATATTGAAGATCTTTTTTCTGAACAAACTTAAAAAGTCAGAAGGCCATTTATTATCATCTTCTTGTTCTTCTTTTGCCTGAACTTTAAAAAGAAAATCATCGCACTACCTTGGCATACAACTTTTTCAGTTGACTGAGCATTTCGTAATAAGTTTGACTACCTTAAGTAAAAAAGTTTTGAATCTTATAATATGATGCAGCAGGAATCCAGGATCAGTCAAAAGAGTCAAGTTATTGACATTTCATTGAAAAAACATTGGATAAAAACGGCATAGTGCAAAAGGTTATAAACAAACAAGCAATACAGCCTACACATGCAACCTTCTGATATTGTAGTCATGTAAGAATTCAATCAGCGTAATTGATAAAACACCTAACAGTATAAAGCAATTGTTCTGAATCACTTGAAACGTCTCTCAATATATATTAAGAACAAACTATCATTACAATGTCTCTTTTCCAAATTTAAGGTTAAATTATCATTTCATATTCATGTCCACGACCCCCTGTTGTAGGACATGCCTATTGGGTGGATCTGACCATTGTGATTTTTTTTGGAACATTTGGCTCTCAAGAAACGGGATGGTCTTTGACGATGTCACCTCCCCACTGAAATGATACGCGGACATCCCAATGACACCCTGCGGGCTGCTAGGAGCCCAGGAGAAGACATAATACTCAAGCTCAAGACATTGGGGCGTCAAGTGCTTGCGCACACTTTTCCACAAGCCATGTGCCTTTGTAAATAAAAGTTGACAATGACTGAATTTGTTTTCTGCTGCTTTTTTTTAAAATAAAAATTCAGCTAGAGGCTTCCCTTCTCGATTTACTAAAAAAATGTACTTCATCCTTTACTAAAGAAAAACTATTGTTTCGATATGTCTTTCATTGAGATCATTTCAACATATCTTTAATGGTGTCACAGCTTTCGTTTTATCTTTCATGGTACAAGCAGACATGATTTCTGCTGTACCAAAGAATAAGTGGTGTGCAGTGGTGCAAATTCTTCTTGTGGTTGGCAATTCAACAATGCTGCCAGACAAAGGACATGCTCCCCATCGAAGAATTGCTATCCACTCACTTGTTTGTTTTGGCATAGAGATGGGGAGACGATCATATCTTCGATGAATGTGTAATGGTAATATTCAACCCAAACCTACTAAATCCTATTAAAAAAAACTGCCATAAGTTTATTTAAAACTTGTAAATGTAACTATAGTATAATATAACATAATTTCACCTAACTATACTATAACAATAATATAATTTAGAGTGATTTTACAGTCCTTGAGGAGGTACCGGAAGGTACCATATTTTCTAGTGTAAAATTTGATATCTATTGGTACTATGGTACTAGGAGGTACGAAAATTTGCACTAAATTTTTGAAACCTCTCAAAAACTCTAAAATTTCTCTATAATTTAGATATAAAAAATTGCATATTTTTAAAAAACGAAAGGAAAAATGACAAGTAAGCAAAACATTAGGCCTAATGAGTCTGCTCCCATTATAAAAAAACTTAGGCCATCCTAATGAGAACGCTTTGACTAACCACCATGGTCACTCCCAAAATAAGAAGGCCTCGAGTTCATTAGGGTTCAGAAAGCGGCCACAAAAAGGCTCCTGCAGGAATCCATTCCTTTTTTGGCAGCCACACCACACTTTTGGCAGCCACCGTTTCTTAGACATGTGTTTCGTTCAATGCCACAGTTGTGGCTTGCCACACTTTTTCAATAGCATATGTCCCACACATCATAGACTCAATTTTCTTGCCAACTTTGCCACATTTTATGGCTAGCAATTTGTCCACCGCACTTTTGTGGCTGCCACAATTTGCCTAATCTTAGTTGTGGTAAAGTGTGGCCAGCAACCAAACACATCATAAGTAGTGTTGTGAGCTACAAAACTCAGCCGGTGTCTTATCTATTAAAAAACAAAATATTGGAGTTCACGGTACAAGCAGAAATGATTTTGCTGTACCAAAGAATAAACTGTCAGTTCCATTGCCTTCCATAATAATTGACTAATCGTATCTCGGCCACTCCACAATAGCTAGATTTTGTATCTTTTGTCCTTACAGGTGAATAAAAACATCCCTTCAATTTTCTTTCTAATAATGATCATTACCTTCTGTCCGCGATAAAGAATTTGTACTGCATTCAAATGATTGCGCTGATAACAACAGCCAGGTAATTTGACTTTTTATTCTAGTATAAGTGGAACTAGTAGACTTTCCTATGTAGTTTCTGTGGAGCTAATTTTAAAAACAGAATTAGATTTCATATGTTTCCATAACAATTGTACTTTATACAGCTATATCAACCAATATACACCCTTGTAATCTATCGGTGCAGATATTTCGCTTTTTCTCTGATTAACATGATGAATTTCTAGGCCTTAATGAATGTGGTGGCTCCTTTTTGGACCTCTCTTAATAATATAAGTAATAGATAGATATTCACTTATGGTTACTCCATAATTATGTTGATTAATATTCCCTCCTCATCGCAAAATATAGCAACCTAAAACTCGAGTAGACACCACCTAGTACTATACGAATCTAGATAGACTCCCACCTAGTACTACTAATCTAAATAGACCCTCTAGTTATTAGGTGGTATCTAATCGAGTAACATGTTGCTATATTTTGGAAGAGAGAGAGAGTACAACATAAGAAAACTCAACACGGAACAGCATTCCACAATTACTCGAAGTAATTCGTTTTATCAGTAATTCGCTCTACCCTGCAACCCAATTGATGATTCTACAACTGAATTCTTACATGACCTTCATACCGCTAAACATCCAATAGCTAGCTAAGCTAACCTGACTTGGCGACTACAAACACGGTCGATCCAGAACCAAGTGACAAACCAATTAGCTCCTAATTTGCTGTTCTTGGCACCAAATTACCAAGATCTCAATCTAAGATTCCAGAAAACGAAAACGAAAACGAAAACACGGATAGCAAAAAACCGAGAAAGACAGGGAAAACGACGATACCATCGGTTTTAGGTGTGGATCCGGCGCAACCCATGGCGACGGCCGGTCAGACGCTCATGAGTGAGAGCGACCTTCCCCCTGGGGAAGCTTCTGGAAGCTGGCGCGGCTTCTGGCGTGTGGATTGGCGGCTGCGGGTTCGGGGGAGAGGACGATGCGAGAGAAAAAGCGGTGGATTAAAAGGGGGGAAGTGGAGCAGCAGTGGGGGGGAGGGACGCATCTCGGCATGTGATTAGCTAGCTAACCAACAAAAACCGGTGCGGGGGTGCAGAGGTGGCGCCGAGCCGAAGGCCGAATTCGTCAGTACTAGTATTTCTTTTTCCCCGATTTCCTTGGCCTTCTCGATGCACCGCGATGGAGCAGCAGCGTTCACCGTTCCCTGCGACTAGAAGGGATATAAAAAGGGATTTAAAACGGATGGAAATTACCTTTACAATGTTTATTTATACTTAAAAAAACCCGTGCAATTACCTTTACAATGTTTATTTATACTTTAAAAAAAATACCCGTGCGTTGCAACGGGTGAAGGCAACGAAAACAGAAAAAAACAAAGAAATCCTACGGATTGAAAGTGGCTGTAGATATGAAAATAAAATCAAATATTATCAAATACATGTATGAAGCGAATACGGATTAAAATACGGTCACGAATATTTATCTAAACATGAAAAATTCTTTATACCATGCTTACAAAATCAAAGAAAGACATAAAGGTAGGGTTTTTTTATCCAAAAGAATATATTAAATTGTGCTAAATATAATATGCCATTGTAGATTAGACTCTTAAGTATTTTTTTAAAAAAAATGAACATAATATATGAACTAATAAACATAATATATGAATTCATTATATATACATATTAATGATTTAAATCTTGTGAAATTTAAATTATGTAATCTACAAATTTAAAATATTCTGGTCGGTTCATTCCAATACGGGAGAATAGCCTATTTGGTCCTTTAACTTTCGCTCGGAGATCAATATGGTTCTTGATACATCATTTTGTTCGAATTGGTCCTCAAAGTCTATCTTTTAGTCTACTATGGTTATTGGACCCAAAAAAAACACCACGTAAGCATGCCATCTCATCATCTTATACAGATCTGCAATGAAATGCCTAATATACCCTTACATACAACATAAGAGAGAAAAAAGAAAAAGGAAAAATATCATACACACTTACATTCGCAAATACTCAAATATATCGATTTGTGTATAAATACATGTAACATAATCAATTTTGTGTGTATATATCAATTCCTGGGATTAGATCAAATTATCTAATCATATAATATTAATTAGTTATAGTATTTTGTATCACATACGAATGGACAAATTAGATATTTCACCATCCATTTTTAATAAGATGACGACATGGCATGTCTACATGGCGTTTCCGGTGATTCTAAGGTTCATATTGGACCATATGACAAAGTTTAAGAATATGATTGGACAGAATAAAATATCAAGTACCATATTGACCTTAAGGCGAAACTTTAGGGACCAAATGGACTATTCTCCCTTCCAATAACGACCACAAACTTTCAACCGGTTAACGGTATTTGGATGATATTTTTGAACCTTGCATATCCACTATGTAATTCTGTTTAAACATTTGATTTTTTTTAAAAAAAACTCCAAGGTATTTCTCTTGGAACACATTTTCATCGAACCCAGTCCATAATTAACTAATATTGTTTTGGTCTCAGAAACAATGCATTGCAATGGGATGGATAAATTCTATAGTGAGTAATATCATTGGCAACCTTTTTCGCAGGCTTAAGGTATTGGGTATGGGTGACAAACACCCAGGGGTCTTCTGGCTAGCTCCACAAGATGGTGGACTAGACGACTTGGGTTCGAAGTCTCACCCCTTCTAATTATTTGATATTAGGTCATTCCCTAACATTCGCGTCTTTTTTATGGGTATGGGTGTGGCTCCTGATTCTTGACGCTGCGCCTAACAAGTGAGCAGAGTGATATAGGGTTCTATCGAGTTCTTCCGAAAATGCTCACACCCGGGCGATCGACAGGGGTGGAGAAAAATCGGACGCTGCTTTTGTACATACCACTGCATGTCTGCATGCAAAGAATCTTTTCCCCCATACTCCCATCTTTCATTCCTTCAAAAGATTTTTTTTCTCTTAAACTATTTATCTAATCTACGATCTAATTGCACCACTAAATCTTTACAACAAGAACACACAAGAACACACATAATTATATTTCGAAAAAAAAATATTTTAGTTTTTTATTGATTTTTTTAATGTTGTATATGGTCTCTTTCGATGTTTCAACCAGTAGTTTTACAATATTTCAGCTAGTGTACTCATAATGTTTCACTATATACGGATCAAATGTTGCAGTGGATTTTGATATTATGGAACACACCGTTGCAACAAATCACCCACATATTTTGGAAATTCTCTATTAAGGGAATTTGGTTTATTTTTTGTTTCACAAAAAATGTTTCACCTAGTGTACTCACAATGTTTCACTATGTATAGATTTAATGTTGCAGTGAATGAAACATTCCATTGCAACAAAAAAAACCCACATATTTTGGAAACCCCCTATTAAGGGAATTTGGTTTATTTTTTTCACCGAAAAATGTTTCACATAGTGTACTAACAATGTTTCACTGTGTACATATCTAATGTTGCATTGAACTGAAACATCCTTTCGCTATTTGCTGAAACATTGTTTTTATAGATGGTGAAACAACACCCAATTTAAACGAGTGAAACATTTTCAATCTACTTAGTGAAACAATTCCGATATACCTGGTAGAACATCGTGCAATATTTAAAAATAATTCAATAATAAGCTAATTTTTTTTCGTCGGAATAATCTATGTGTGGTCTTGTTTTGAAGATTTAATTGCAACGAATTTAGTGGTGCAATCGGATTATGATTTAGATAAGTAATTTAGGATAAAAATTAGTTTAAAATAGTTTTGCATGTAAATCGGGCGCTGACGTCTGACGTCAGCGTCCGATTTTGCTCCCAGCCAATCGGGCACCCGAGCCGTAGATTCGTCCGAGTTCTTCTGTTAAAATCTATACCGTTGCAATAAAAATCCTTAATCGTTTTGAATTCGTCACAAGAGCACCTCCAAGTTTGCAAATGTTAACGCGACCATGGCACGTTAGCGACTGAGGGATTAAGATGGATCTTTGGTAGGTGAGCTCATCCTTATGGGCTGGAGGCCAGACATGTATAATGGGCCACGAGATTTGGCTAAAGTACGTATGGGCTAAAGAATACGGCCCTGAAACTTTAACGGACTGCAAGAGGCCACATCCAGGTGTGGAAGGCCCGTGAAATAAATCCACTCGTGTTGCATAATACAATCTCCTCTGAAAATGAAAATATAGTTATTTTCAGTGGTTAAATTTCGTCTTTGCTGCCTCCACACCTATTCATTTATCTTAACCAATTATAATAATATATCTAATTATAATAATATATCTTATGTTTAATTTATCCACCTATGTTCCTATCTCAACCAATTAATATCTTTTGTTTAATTTAGCATATCTCTTCGTAAATAAAAGTCCACACAGCTTGACAGTAGCATTGTAGTGGTATCCGAAACGTAAAAAAGCAGAGCAATATAAAGAAGAGTAAATTTCACAAAACTATATATATTTCGATCAAACTATCGTAAAATTATAAATTTAAGACGTTGTATCACAAAACTACAGATTTAACACCATATTTATCTCAGAAGTACAGATTTAAGGTTAAGTATCATAAACTACATATTTAATATTGAAGTTATCACAAAACTACAACTTTTAAAGTTTAAATCCCTAGCACCATTATTATGCTGGAGCTATAAACATTATTGTTTTGGGACTAAATTGGTTCTAAAGATATAGTTTTATGATAATTTAGTTACTAATAAACATGTAGTCTGTGACACTTCATCTTAAGTGTGTAGTTTTGTTTTGTGATAAAATTAGTGTTCAATGTGTAGTTTTGTGACACACCAAGTTAAAACTGTAGTTTTGTGATAGTTTGGTCATAGTATCTGTAGTTTTATGAAATTTACTCTATAAAGAATGAAAGAAACGTAAGCATAGATAGTTTTGTAAAATTAAGGAGTTGATTTAGATTATGTGATGAAAATATTGGTGGTTTGCTGATGATATTTTGGAGATTTATAGATGATTCGTTTTGTGAAGTGAGCAATTTTGGTTGACCTTGGCGGTCAGACCGGTTGGGTGCCGCCAGTCAGACCGGCCAACCCAACGGTCTGACCGGTAGGATCCTGATCGTTGTTGGTTTCGGGTTATCTTGTTGGATTTGGATGTTTCCTTCGGGGTTTTGACTTCCAGATGGTATCTCTGCGTATGGATACTGCTGCTTATACTAATGTGAGTCAAGTTGGGACGAACTTGTGTTCGGAATATGGTTTTTTGGTTGTTGCACGTACAATTGTTACTTGAGGCCTCGGGAGAGTGTTGCTGGTGATAGATCGGAGTTGACTTACGAGAAGTTGATGTATAGGGATCAAGAGATCATGTAGGATACTAAAAAGGCTAGAGAACAATGCACGTGGTGATGAATAATCTATATGGTATATAAGAGGGACCGTGTACATATGGAAAGAGGAGTCAAATTTGGAAGGGAGTCCGAATTCGGAAAGATCGATAGAGATAAGGAAAGAGATAAGTTGGATACTTGCAAGAGAGGGTTTCCTACGTGGTTAGGAGTCCTAAGTTGTGTTAGATTTGTGGCTTTGCACAACTTACCTCATGTATAAATAGAGCAGGATGGTGTGGCCTCCTGGTATCAGTTTTAGAGAGACTTGAGTTGAGAGAAAATTAGGGTTTCGAGTTTAGTTCGAGATTTTGGTGAGGAGTGTTGTTGGTGCACTTTGTAAACACTAGTTGATGTGATAAAGTCGAGAGTTCTAATCTATCAAGTTTGTCATCTACCGGTGTTTTTGGTCCCGATGGTCTAACCGCAGGCGTGCGTGCGGTCTGACCGCATGTGTCTGGCGGGTCTGACTAGCAAGGCTTCGACGGTCTGACCGGAGGCCAACGGGCAGTTTGACCGGCGACGATAGAGCTTCGCCATCTACTCTGTTTTAGGTAAATCTTTTATTCCGTAAAAAAATTTTGGGTTTTTGGTTTTTTTACCATTCACCTTATCTTATCTGTGAGGTTTGTTTGATCTAATTCGATTCAACAAGTCAACCAAATAAAAACGTAAGCACAGACAGCTTCCGTCGCACGGGTGTCAAATCCAATCGTATCACCTGGTGCGCCTTTTTTTCTTCCCACATAAGTGGATTAGTATCACTAAAGCAACTAAAGAAGTCAGGCGTTGTGACGCCAGCTTTAAAATCCAACCGAATCGTACAAAGCATTTAACAACACCATAAGCACACACGCTACACACGAGCAAATAAACGTTTTCAGCCGGTGTCACCTCCATCATGATGGCGAAACGCCGGGCGGTTACAGCGACGACAGATGAACGGGGCACGTTTCGCTATTCGGCTCGACCATGTCGTCGCCGCTCGATCGGTCCCTTTCACTCCTCCCGCTTCGCGGAGGCGAGAAAGGGGCAGGCCTGCGACTGCGGGGCCGCGCCTGACGCCGACACGATAGCCGCCTCGCCGAGCCTCTCGCCGAGCTGACGCGCGTCCTCCTCCTCCGCGGACGGCACCAGCAGGGGCCCCTTGAGAAGGCCCCCCAGTAGCTCGCCTGGGTCGTAGTACACCTCCACGTCCTCCGCCCGCAGCTGCTCATCCACCTGCACGAGCGTACGTTACGTGCAAGATACACAATTACACATACCCTTCACGAAAGTTGCCGTTGTGATCTGATCATAAGTGGCAGTAAAGATTTGTGTACATGGGTGTGCACCTTGAGGACGGCGACGCCGTAGAACTCGACCTTGTCGCCGGTGGGGGCGTGGCCCTTGTAGGGGCCGTCCATGTGGCCCCAGTGCCGGAACTTGAACGTGATCACCGGCGGGCCGGAGTAGACGCGGATCACCTCCCACGCGAACCCGCGCGGGAAGGCCGCGCGGAACAGATCGTGGGAGGACTCGAACGTCTCGGCCGCGGCGTCGTACGCGCCGGCGCCCGGCAGGATCGGGCTCGTGAGCAGCGCGTTGTAGCTGCCCACGGCGAGCGTCTCCTCCCCGGTGAGCGGCCGCCCGCCGTTCACGGAGAGACGGAACCGACCGGGGCTCACCGACTTGAAGTCCTCGAGCTTGGCCTTGTAAGACAGCTCCATCTCCCACGTCTTGATCGCGTTCTGCACCGTCTCCTCCAGCGACCCCGCCGGCCACTCCTGCACGTGCGCGCCGATCGACCGTCGAACACCACGCAAATTAGCGCGGGCGCGCGCGTATACGTGCATCAAACTGATCATAAAGATGGAGAGAGATCGAACGAACCTGGGTCCTCTCGGCCTCGAAGAGGCTGTTCACGGCGTCGTACGTGGGTGGAGCGCCGTGCCGCCACACCGTGTTCTTCTCGCCGTCGCCGGTAAGGTGAGACCTGTAACGGTCGCCGCCGGAGGAATCCGCGGCTGCCACCTCCATGTGTGACGCACGCCGGGAAACCGGGAAGGTAAGAGGATGGTGGTGTCTAGTGCCGTGATTTGTCCTGTCACCGGTCACGGTACTGTGCTTTATATGAAGGGAGTGGGAGATGGGGTTTTGAAGGGAAGAGACCTTTCTATAGTGATTTAGTAAAATCCTTTCAACTATTACAGTTGATACAAGGATAAGATAAGCGGTGTACAGTAGTGCAAATTCTACTTGTGGCTAGCAATTCAACGGTGCTGCCAGACAACGGACATGCTCTCCATTAAGGAATTGCTATCCACTCACTTGTCATTTTGGAACAGAGATGGGGAGATGTCTTCGATGAATGCGTAATGGTAATTTTCAGCACAAACCAACTAAATCCTATGAATATATCAATTCCTTTCCTGAGTGCGGCGTTTGGGAGGCATGCACAAGTAGGGATGAAATCATTTCGGATATTTTTTACTCGGACACATTTTCGAAACCGGATAATCTTAGATAATTTTTTTTTGATTGTAGCAAATACGGAAACGAATATAATAAGAGCAGTATCAGTCGAAAATTACCAAAGCAATAAATTTTTAGAAAAAATATGTATATATACATAACTTTACCATATAAAGTTAGATGTTATATCAAATTGCAGTGCTCAACGAGATCTATAACTTTGCAGTCAATAGCTATGTCATTTGAAATAATTAAGAGGCCTAAGGCTGTGTAGCACGCAAAACAAAACAACGTTTAGTGCATGATTAATTAAGTATTAGCTAAAATAAATTTGAAAAATGAATTAATATGATTTTTAAAGTAACTCACATAAAAGTTTTTTTTAAAAAAAACACACCGTTTAGCAGTTTAAAAAACATGTGCGCGGAAAACGGAGGAGATGAGTTGGAAAGTAGAGATAAAAACTCAGCCTAAATATTCACCACAAAGTCTCACATCTATTGTAGCAAAATTTTAGACCTACGATTCAAACGACCTCCGATGAAAATATGCTCTATATTAATATTATAGAGCTCGATGTGATCACTACTTTGTAGTTTATGACCCTTTTATTTATAAAATTATTTAAAGTGTAAAACGAATAGTACAAGATTCAAAAAGGGTAAATAAAGGGGGTGATTGGTTTTGCTGGTGATTGGGTTGTAGCAACATGTGGTTGTTGCAGCCACAGCCGATGTTGCCACAACAATCACGGTTGATCACCCTAAAATGAATAACATCTTTAATCTAGATAACAAGAGCTTGATAAGTGATACAGTAAGTAAACTATTTATAGAAAAGAGATCGTGTTACTTCAATGGACCAGAAAGTGGAAAAATCATTTTCACACGTGAGTCTCTTAAGAAAACTGTCGTGAAAATTAATTTTCACAAACCACCTATAATATATTCACGAGATAGAATTTAGAAATGTTGATCTATTATTTCAGAAAAATAACAAGTGATATTTTTTTCGTTAATTTAGGAAGCTCAATTTGAGATGTTTTTATATTCCGGCCTAACATTCGTTACCGTTCGTATATATATTTGATAATATTTGGTCCCATTTCTATATCCGATCGACTACGATACCAACCCAACAAAATATGAAACGGAAATTCCGATAGCGATAGAGAAAAAATAAAAAAACGAATATGAAAGACCCAGTTTCCGTCCGTTTGTGATGGTTTTCATCCCTATGCGCAATTTATTTCGGGCTCGACGGTCGAATCGCTACCGACCACGACCAGTCGGTGTCCGTTTGGCCGGGGCGCGTGAACTGCCAAATGCTCATTCGGCGCACCTGCTTGAGGGTTTGATTCGCGTATATGTGTACAGGTGCACCGCATGTGCATGTGTGCATCTTCCGTGGATGTAGGCTTCGGCCAGCTGATACGGTATCGGATATTTGGATTGGTTTTCTGCAGTTGCATTGCATCAACCTTCAACTTGTAAGCAGTAGCTAGCCAATGAGAGTATGGACAATGATAACGACTATTTTGGCTTGTTCTAAAGGCATCCACACTATGGATGAAAAATGGGTAGTAAGACCCCTTACTAACTACTTTATCATTGTGGAGGTGGATAGTAGAGGAGGTAGTAACTATAGCAGATAATAGCACTACTACTTGATAGTAAGCATAAAAAAACATTAAACTCTCTCATCTCTCACTCTCTCTCTTTTCTACCCAATAATTACTTTACATGTGAGTCATATCTTACTACTTACACATTGTGAAAGGTAGAAACAACTATAACCTAGTTCTGTGGGTCCACTTTACTACCCACTTGATAAATATACATTGAAGATACCCTAATATGAGCCAACTCCACTCTGGCACTTTGCACGTCAACAAGAAATAAGTTCATTTTAACTTCCTTAAAAGTGACCCGAATCTAATCCGTGACCCTCAATTATAATACCGGATATCTCGACCCCTCAACTATTAAAACCGACGTAATTTGATTCTCTCGGCGGTTTTGGAAAACAATTTCGCTGACGTGGCGCATATGTGACGGCATTGACTTGGTATTCCTTCTACGTGACGCTTATGTGCCGTTGGAATTTAAAAAGATATGTGTGGAACCCATTTGTCATTAAAAAAAATAAATATATGACCCACTTACATGTAGAGCCCATGTGTCATCCTCTTGCCTTCCCTTCTTCCTCTCTCTCTTTCTTTGCCTTCCCTTCTTCCTCCTCTCTCTCTCTTTCTCTCCCCACGCCGACGTCATGGATCCCCGACTACCCGTCGCCGGCGCCTCCACCTCGCCACCGCCAACGCCCTCCCGGCGTCGTCCTCCCCGAACGACCGTGCGCACGTCTCGTGACCGGTGTCGAGGGGAGCGGCCAGGCATAGAGGCATGGAGCTGGTCGTGCTCGTGCGCACGATGCGAACGGATGCGGTGGTGGATGCCGACCACCGCCACTGCCGCCGCGTTGGATGAGGGGTTCGGCGGCCCCGCGGCGGAGAAACTGGCCACCGAGCTGCTCTGGCTCGGGCGGAAGATGGCCGAGTGCGGCGCCGCCCGTTCGGCCGCCGCGTCGCGTCTCGTCGCCGAGTGCTCTCGGTCGGCGGCGGATCTCTCCACGGTGCTCCTCCTGCCGCTTCCCGTGGCGGAGGCGCGGGCCCTGACAGTGCTCTGAAGGACAAGGGTCAAACTACGCGGTGCCGGTGGAGGTGACGACGGGGTCCGTCCCCTCGGCGGTGTGGTGTGGAGAGGCCGGCGGCGCCGTGAATCCGGGTGAGACCTGTCGCCTGAGCTGAGGGTAAGCTCGGTGTGTTGTCGGGGGCGATGAGGATCATGGTGCGCACGCTGCGCGGGGACTGGGTGGCGCTCGACGTGGACGGCGCCACGACGACGGTGGCGCAGGTCAAGGGCATGGTCATGGCCCGGGAGCGCATCGCGGTGGCCATGCAGCGGCTGTTCTTCGCTGGCCGGTGCCTCGACGACGACCACAGCACGCTCGCGGACTACGGCGTTCGGCACGACTCCGTCGTCTTCCTCAGCCTCCGCCTCGCCACCGACGCCTATCAGTACGTGCAAATTTCACGACGAACTGTTATGAATTTTTCGACAAACTGATAGATCGATCTATAGCAGGAAGGAGATGTGGTTGATGCAGCCGGAGACAACGACGACGAAGAAAGAAATGCATCAGCAGCAGTTGTTGCATGTCCATGTTGCCGCAGCCGACGAGGAGAAGGCAAGATCCTGTCACGGCTGCGGGTTGACGCGTGGACGAGCCAGCACGACGCCGGGAGGGCGCCGGCAGTGGCGAGATGGCCGACGGGGACTCATGACGCCGGCGTGGGGGAGAGAAAGAGAGAAGGAAGAGAGAGGGAGGAGACGTGTGGGTCCCACATGCATGTTTTTAATTTTAATGCCACCTAAGCGCCAATCAACGGTAGACAAGGTCACCACTGCCATGTAGGCGTCACATCAGTGAAACCGTCCTCAAAAACCACCAAGAAAGTTAAATTGCACCAGTTTTAAGAGTTTAGGGATCGAGATATCTAGTTTAGTGGTTTAGGGTCACGGATTAGATTTCGATCACTTTTGAGGGTCACAAAGTAAACTTATTCCCGTCAACAACAATGTTAGGGAACCGCCAGCCCACGAAGGCCCGGCCTAATTACTCACTAATTGGACCCATCACTAAGAGCATCTCCAACAGCTTCTCTATCCCACTCTCTAAGTCAAATTTTAGCAATTTTGCAAAAAAAAAATCCACTCCTAACAGAATGGCTATCCCACTAGCCAAAATATAGCAATGGTCAAAGATGGGCTCAAGATAGCCAAATATGGCCAGCCGTCAGCCACCCTCAGCCACTGGCCATCCGTGGGCTCCACCATCTTTTTCCCCTCAATCCCCACCATCTCTACCATCCTCTGCTCTGCCTGTGCCCTCCCTCCCTCTGCATACTGCGCGGCTAAATGCCAGCAATGTGAAAATGAGCATCAACAGCAACAAATCGAACCTAAATCATCTCAACCGATCCATCCTGCACAACCGAATCGATTGATGGTCATTTCAACCAAATCCATGGGGGGTCTTGGAGCACTTGCAGCCTTGATGTGTCCGGCGATGGCGCGACCACCGGGCTCTCCATCCGCCGCCGACGTGGCCACCATCTCGGACTCAATCACGTTGCAATAGAGTACGGGGAGAGGCGGACGCCGGTGCGGTCGGCCCTGGCCTCCGCCGCCGTATTCGCCGCCGTCAGCCACCAACACCAGCGTGGGAGGGAGGGCATGGCGGCGGGGCAGCGGCCAGCCTGCCTTGCAACCGCACAGATTTGTCATCGCCATCCGTCGTCGCTGCTCGTCGTCCCAATCCGTCGTCGCCGCCAGCCGTCGCCATCCATAGTCACCGCCACGCTGATCTGTCGTCGCCGTCCGTCGTCGTTGCCATCCGTCGTCGTTGCCCGTTGTCGCCGCCATCCGTCGCCATCCTTAGTCGCCGCCGCACGGATTTGTCATCGCCGTCCGCCGTCGCTGCCCGTCGTCGTCGCCCACCGTCGCCGCCAGCCGTTGCCATCTTTAGTCGCCGTCCGCCGTCATCGCCATCCGTCTTCGCCGCCCGCCATCGCCATCCATCGTCGCCGCGATAGAGAGAGAGGGCCAAGGAGGAGTCGGGGATGCCCAGCAGAAGAGGAAGAGGGGTAAGAAAGAAGGGGAAGAAGTTGGGATATGTAGAGACTGACACGTAGGGTCCAAATGTCATAGACCTAAAATAGAGAGGATAGATGGAGAGTCTATTGAAGTGAGCAACGAGATTAACTTGCTAAATCAATTGGAGAGTTGGCTATATAAGTGTTTGGAGAGTCTAATTTGGGTAATCTGTTGGAGATGCTCTAAATATGGAAAGTGGGCAAGGCATTGCCCCATAAATAGAGAGGGTTGGAGGAGATAATTTGTACACGTAATGGATGAATGAACGAGAAGAGCTACACCCCCATATCTTGTTTTTCACTTTTGTAGACATTATGCAATCTATCTAGACTATAAATGTAGTACATGGGTTGCATAATACGTTATCAGCACAACATTTTATCGGATACTGAGGAATAAGAAGGGTAAGAACTTAAAGGACTTTATTGCATCTCGCCGGTCTAATCGCGAAAACGAACTCCTCTTGTGACCCTTGTTCCGTTTCTACTGTTCCAAGAGAAATCCGCCAATACCGACTTGTAGTTGCCGGCAAACACCGATTGGGGGATTTCCGGAACGGTTGGTTGGCGCACCAACCACGGATACCGCATCGCGCCGGCACACAATATGGCAGCAAGCCGATGACCGCATGCTGCCGTCGGGCCACCAGCAACAGGCGCACGAATCGCCACGCACTGGCGACACCCTGCAAGGTGTTGTGCCACCCCCGTGCCGTGGAGGAGCCGGCCGGAGTGGACAAAGAAAAGAAGCAAAATAAGAACGGAATTGCTAACCTTCTTTTGACAGATTTTTGGACACCGGATGGGCTTCAAGATTCGTGTTGTACGCCTTCTCCTCCAACTCCGACGACCTCCTCTTCTTCTCCAGCGCCGGTGAGGACCCTACGGGTTAGGGTCCCGGGGTGGGGTGGGGTGGGGGTGGGAGGGGGAGGGGGCAGGGGAGGAGTTCGCCGGCTCTAGAGGGATGGCTGGGGGAGGCGGCAACTCGATGGTGGGTGGCGGATCGGGCGGGTGGCGACAGAGCCGTAGGGCTGGAGGAGGGCGGTGGGCCGGCGTTGGTGGCAGGGGCACCTTGCCGCCGACGGCTCGAGGAGGAAGGAGGGGAGGAGGGGGGAGGAGGAGGGGGAGGAGGCTGGTCGGGGGGGTCTCGCCGGCGCCATTGACGCCCTCCGGCCAGCCGGCAAGGCGGGCGGCGGTGGCGGCGGGAGATCGGGCGGAGCCGCTCGCGAGCGCGAAGGGAGGGGAACGGGAGGAGAAGAGGTAGGGTTAATGCATCTGCACGAATCTTAAAGCACATCCAATATAATGGTCTAAATTTAAAAGATGGAAGGTGGGATTTTTTGTCAACAGATGTATAGATAGCCCCTTAAAATAACCCTCAATCCGTTGCAACTCACGGATATTTTTTCTAGTTAAGGATGAAGCACCAAATAACTCACGGATATGCTTTAGCTGCGGTTTGTTTAGCGGGTATATGTATTCAACAGCGGGACAGTGCAAATCCGAACCGTAAGCATTTGTCCCCGAAAAGAAAAGAAAGAAATTAAAGAAACGTAAGCATACGACTCTTCCGTCGCATGTCGATGTAAAGTGTACGTATCTGCTTTGGGCACCTCTTGGCCCTGTTTTTCTTCCAACACGAGTGGATTGCAATCAATTAATTAAGTTCGGCGATGTGTCGCCTCCAAAAGACACACAAGTCCTGCGAGCATACATACACCACCAGAAAATACACGTTACACATGAGCAAACAGCCGGCGTCCGCTCGATCGGACGATCACGATGGCGATAAACCTCGAAACTCCGGTGGTTGGGCACAGCGCGCGCGCCTCAGATGTGGGCACATTTTATTTCGATTCGACCACGTCGCAATCTCCCGATCGACACGATCACACCTCCCGCTTTCCGGAGGCGAGAAAGGGGCAAGATTGCGCCTGCGAGTCCGCGCCCGACGCCGACAAGGTAGCCACCTCGCCGAGCCTCTCCCCGAGCTGACGCGCGGCGTCCTTCTCCACGGACGGCACCAGCAGGGGCCCCTTGAGAAGGTCCCCCAGTAGCTCGCCTGGGTCGTAGTACACCTCCACGTCCTCCGCCCGCAGCTGCTCATCCACCTGCACGGGCGTACGTACGTTGCAGTTGTGATCTGATCATAAGTGGTAAAGATTTGTGTACATGCATGGGTGTGCACCTTGAGGACGGCGACGCCGTAGAACTCGACCTTGTCGCCGGTGGGGGCGTGGCCCTTGTAGGGGCCGTCCATGTGTCCCCAGTGCCGGAACTTGAACGTGATCACCGGCGGGCCGGAGTAGACGCGGATCACCTCCCACGCGAACCCGCGCGGAAAGGCCGCGCGGAACAGGTCGTGGGAGGACTCGAACGTCTCGGCCGCGGCGTCGTACGCGCCGGCGCCCGGCAGGATCGGGCTCGCGAGCAGCGCGTTGTAGCTGCCCACGGCGAGCGTCTCCTCCCCGGTGAGCGGCCGCCCGCCGTTCACGGAGAGACGGAAGAGACCGGGGCTCACCGACTTGAAGTCCTGGAGCCTGGCCTTGTGCGACAGCTCCATCTCCCATGTCTTGATCGCGTTCTGCACCGTCTCCTCCAGCGACCCCGCCGGCCACTCCTGCGCGCGTTGTCGTCGAACACCATGCATGCAAATTACTATACGCGCGCGTGCGCATCAAATTGATCTAAAAAGATTGAGAGATCGAACGAACCTGCGTCCTCTCGGACTCGAAGAGGCTGTTCACGGTGTCGAACGTGGGTGGCGCGCCGTGCCGCCACACCGTGTTCTTCTCGCCGTCGCCGGCAAGGTGAGACCTGTACTTGTCGCCACCGGAGGAATCCGCAGCTGCCATCTCTATCTGTTATATACGCACGCCGGTAAATGGCGAGAGGACGACGGTGTGAAATACTTGGTGTAGTGGTTTCTCCTGTCACCGGTGTGCTAGCTAGTATATATATATATATATATATATATATATATATATATATATATATATATAAGTGGAGTGGCGAATGGAGTATAGGGCAAAAGTTTTCATAATAGAAACTACACCAGTTGTACCCCAAACGAGATGGGTACAATTTAGTTGCACATCTTGTAAACCAAACCGAGTCATCAACAATTTTGTTTCAAGGGGTAAATCTCATCAAGGACATACCACGTGCTGGTCGCCTCTCACCAGCCATTCACCTTCGTATAGCACAACCGGCTCAGCTATATCACAGAAATCATGCACCTTCGTCAGCTCTAACCCTCTAACGAACAATGATATCTTATTGGAGGACTTTCAGAGTGTATAATATGCACCTGGCGGCTAAGCAAGCAAGATGCCACTCTGTAATTAATGTTTAATCACTCTGTCAGCAAACGTTTTCGTATCAAGTTCAGTATACTATACGATGTTTCCTATAGGAGTTTAGTGGGGCCCTCCCCCTTTCTCGGTCTAGGAGTAGAAAGTCTCTTTCTTTCTTTTTTTTTTGTTTTTTCCCTATCACTGGCAAGTGGCAATGGCATCTGGCCGTTGTGTTATAAAATGAATTTCTGTCTCTTCTAATATATTGATGTGCAATTTTTTTCGCGGTCGCGAAATATTATATGATGTACATGTATTTCATACCGTAGGTTGTAGCATAAACAAACGAAAATGTAAAAGCATATTTGATATATATTCATGATCATCAAGTGATTCCTCTCGTTTGTTTAAAAAATATTCAAATATATAGTTACAAAAAATTCTTAAAAAATTGCCAACATTCATACAATATACATATATCATTTCACAAAATTTTATGTCCAAACTTAACTCACATGCTGAGATTTGAAGAAAAATTGTATACGAGAGAATGTCCTCTCGAAGGTTTATAATCTGTTTTCATATTCATTCCAAAATTGTGGGAATGGATTTTAAACTCTCGAGAAGATATTCGCTTAATTGGTTAATTAAAATAATTGACAATATAGATTAATATGTGATATAGCAGTACTCCACCAATATACAAGTTAAATTTTGACTTGTACAAGTTACAATAAAAACAATAAGCTAGTTAGGGTATAATCACTGTTAAATTTGATATTACATGTTTGTGGAGTAATCTATGATATGTTAATTTATCTTCTTGATTTTTTTATAACTATTTAAATAACATATAAACATTGAGGGGATGTACTAGGTTTAAAATAATTTTCCCTATAATTGCACACAAATCTCATTTGTTACCATAATTTAATTAGACCCTATTCAGAAAAGCTTATGCTAGACGTTTCAGCGACTTCAAATAACACGGTTCCTCAAATAGTCTACATTCATACTTTGGATCATAAGATTTGGTAGCTGTAAAATTTAGGGATAAACTACTAGTCAGAAGCTATTCAGATTCTCAATGACTAGCAACCTCATCTTTTGGCTTATGTTTATAAGCCAAAATTTAAATTTTCATCCTTAAATTTACATATGATTTTGGGGTTTTTTATAGTAGTTTATTTTTTAGCCTTTGTTAAGGGTACCTTTCAACGATTAATCAGAATACGGATGATTAATTAGAATTATATGGAAATTTAATGTTTGTGAATATATGTACAAATATTATATAGTATTTGAAGATTTAGATGTGTACAACTGTATAAATCAAATATGTTCATGTTGTTTTTTAATTAAACGGATAAGTAAAACATTAACTCTTCCAACACCGGATTTATATATCACATGGTGATAGAATTGGTTGCATTAAATAAGTAAAACATAAAAATATATGTTACAAAACAAAAACAATTCTAAATTAAGTAAAAAGATTACTCTAAATCATCATCAAATACAACGTACAGACTATTATCCAGGTGATTAAACAAAAAACGACCAACTAATTGCTAAAAACAGAGTTTTAACATTTATAAACGATAAATGTACAACGTATTACGTTAACGGAACGGTTTTACTACCGTTAACGTATATACGGCCGATTAATTGGTCGGTATGGCCGTTTTCCACAACACTAAGAACACGTATACAAAAATTTTATTTATAAATTCTTTTCTATTTACAATATGCCGCGAAACGATGGAGTCCTAGATACATACTGTTGTTTCTTAGAATGTAAGGCTGTTCTAAAACCTTATGATACGCTCTCATCATCTCATGTTGTCTGTTAAAAAGATCGACAACTGATTCTAGTAGGTTCTAGACGAAAAATTGAATACGGTGTTTTGGGGCGTGCGCTTAAGTAGTCAGGCTCCGTTGGTGTGTGTTTGGCTTGGCACTTTGGCTGAATGCCGCCGGCGTCATTAAAACTTCTCAAATGCTCGTACTTCGGCGCACCAATTTGATTCGAGTACATACAGTTGACTGCTTCATTTCATTTTCGTTCAGCTAGTGGAGTAGGAATACCTGTTAAGACACTGGACTGGATTGGCTATCAGTTGTCGAATTCAGCGCGCACGCAGGGCGTGGGCGACGGTACCAACGATTTCCGTTTGTTCCAAGACGATGATTCTACTCCCCCTGTTGGCAGCTTGCATGTTTGTTTGTTTGTTTGTTTGTTTGAACTTGCACGTTGAGAACGAGCAGAATTGGCCCTGTGCTCCTTTTTACATACTTATGAGAGTCGTGAGCTGTGATAAGATCACAAATTCACAATGATGAGAACCAAACATGCATGGGAACAAAGCTAGTACGTGCCACCCAGCCAGTGAGTGCTAGCGCAGAGGTGTCAAGAGTGAGGCACATCTTCGTGTCTGCGTCCCCTCCATTCATTGCAGTATTGCACCAAGTGCAATTTAACTTGACATGGTCACTAAACTCTGTAACAATTATGAATATGACAGTATCTTGGTTGTACCACTATATTTACCAATTATTTAACTGCTACTTGAAAATCACACGATTTCAAAATCCCACCAGAAGGAAATAAACAAACCTCTTGAAAAAGCTCCAAGATTCTACTACTATGAATAGACTAGACCCCTCATATCATTGAGATGTATATAGGGTTACTGTCAAGTGATGAATGATTGTAGGCCTAGTAAAAGAGAAGATAAAGCCCCATCGTTTGGCCTAAACAGTCAAATAATAAGCCAAAATTTAAATTTTTGAACTTGATTTTGAAGTTGATTTTAAGATGCTTTAAACGTAATTTTTGTTAGTGTTGGCTTTTAAGTCGCTACAAACAAATCTATAAAAGTTTTACTTATAAATTAATTTTTATTTTCTAATAAGCCGTTTTGGCTTATTAGGCAAAATGGGCAACCGATGGGAGCCAAATTCTTGTCTGGTGACAATCTGTCCAAGCTCGTCCAAGTAAGTAAATTAAAGAAAAAGGAAAGTTGAACACAAGACCTCAATTAAATGAAAAATTACAATCAGTATGACATGTAGTAAAGCATTTGATGTACGAGTAGAGAATGTAAAACATGAGATGCCTACAATATTTCCTCGTACAGACTACTGACACAACGAAAAACTCTTTCCAAGACCATTAACAAGCATGGCGTTTGGGCCGATTGGATGCAAAGGCTGGGTTTATCTCATTTTCTAAAAAAAAAATTAACAAGCATGGCGTAATAGGTAGAGCATGCCAGCTAGACTACACTAACCAGAAAATTTCGGAAACTACACGCGTCAATAAGAGCAACGCAAAACATCCATCATTTTGTGGCCAGCTGAGTAGGCAGAGTAGCTGATCAGTTGTACAGTCTATCTTGCTTTTCTCTGATTGCAGGTGTTACGGCGACATGAAACTGTACTACAAAAACAAATGGTAGTTGATTGCTCTCATACCATCCAACCACCATTGGATATGGAAATCGAGCTTCCAGGATTAAAGTGATCTCCACAGAATACGAATCAACGAAATTCTTATCCGTTGAAGTCGAACCAATAGAGATATACGCTGTTCTTTTGAAAAAGCAAATCTGTATTAGTAGTACTGATGTAAATGAAATGCTTAATTGAGTTAATTCCAGTTAGGACCAGGACTCAGCTCAACACTGCAAAAACTGTAAAATAAATAAAAAAAAAGGAGAGGCAAAACATACATCATATGGGACATCGAGAAAAAATATATATATTAGGCACATGATTCAGTAGGTCAGAGCACAGGGCACTTCTCTGGGCAGGCCCTACTAGTATATGGTTCTTATTCTATGTTGTGGAATCTTAGTTAGAGGAATCATTAGTTTCAAGTTATCAAAATCTCTTATGTTTGTACTTTAAAAAGTTGCATAACTTATTCAGTTTCATTTCTTTTTTAAAAAATGTTAAACAATATACAATTGAATTCTAGGAAATCATATCTCAGATTGCAAATGCAAGGTACAAACAATTGGCACCAACTGTCCAAGTAAATGTTTGAGTCTTTGCTACTCATTGTTCACTACGTACAAAATACATCAGTTATATAGGGTTACATATGTAAACGATGCATATTTTACAAGGTTTTATCTCTTCTCTTGAATGGATTTAACAATACTTTGTGTATCCTAATTAATTATGATTGGTATTTAGCCATTTTTTTCTTCTTTATTTAACATAAATTGCTAGTTCAACATCGTAACGAACTCATGACATAAGACGAATAATCAGGCGGTATTGAGGGTAAAAGCATGTACCTGGTGTATGTAGAGACAAGAAACAGGGCGGAAACCTGCAATTTCATAGTTCACCGGGTAAATATCATTTCATAGTTCAACTAAAACCATAAGAATAAAAGCCTGATCCAGAAAAGGGGTTAAACACAGTCAACAAGCTTACGCAAGATAAAAAAGAAGTTATATATTGTTTTCATAAAATATTTACCAGAGTCCCAACTTTTTGGCAAGTGGTTCGGATCATAACATTAACATTGCCTCACCTTCACAACATGAATAATCTTGTTGCTAATGTCAGCAATGGAGATAGAATAAAGAAACCAATCCATTGAAGCAAAGCAAAGCATAAATCCAGAACATGTCATCTTCAATGACAATATCTTGTTAATAATTATGACATCAACACAACGAACAAAAAGCTGCCTCTTTTGGACAAGCATTGAATTACTACTTGCAATGATTTATTACGGAAGTAGAGGTCATTCCTGATGCCTAGATTGCTTGTGAAGCTACCTGCAAATTTCCCCAAATCCATACATCTATTTGAAATTTTGGATGCAACCTACATGCTCATGCACAAAGAAAAAACCGTAATTAATCGACAAAGAAGCTGAAGTATGAAACAGCCCAGCTGAAACTTTCTGAATCTAAAAAAACAGAGCCCCATGATCTGAAATAAATTAGTAGGTTCCATACTTTTAAATTGGTCAAAAAGTCCTATATTTCCAGAATTATTCATGTATGCCAGTAATCACTCCAGCACTTATTGATTATGCAAGTTCCTGCTCTCAATTGTCTCAGCCAAAGTGGTCTTAACTTATAATTGATTAATTTCTTGCTTCTATTGGGCTGTTCCCACTTTTTAAATTACCTATATGCAATTCGAAGCAACATTACATGAAATTCCAATATTTTGCTTTTGTGCTGCAATCACTTAAATGGCTAAGGGTCAGTCCTGCCATATTGAGTACAGGGGATTACATGGTTACCTGATCAAACTAAGAATGATAAGTCAAATGAACAACACTATACAAAGGTGATTAAAGATTTCAAGTAAAAAGGGGAGCATGAGAGATCCGAAGGGAGATTTGAAGTATATGTTTAAGGATCTATGTTGTGACTCTGCCTATACATTTCTACACAACTCATCCTTTTGATGGTAGCCAAGAAAACAAGTTGAAATTCTACATGACCCAATAATGGCATAAAAGTCAGAACATATTTACACGGAGAAACCAGGGAAGCATAAAAGCAATCAGCAAGCATGCTAGCAAGAAATTACAAAAAGGCTGCGTTCTCCAACAAGTACTTTCCCTCTGCGTTGTAGTTCGTGTGTTTGCCAGTCTTGGACCATGCCATTCTTCCATGAATTTTTTCACTTCCAGCCCAATAATGTTTTTGGCATCTGAACCACAAATCTCACAGCGCCTGCACAGTAATTGATGTTTTTAATTTCTTTGTCAACTGGTGAGTTAGAAACAAATTGTTAAATATGCTGTCTAATTAAATTAGACACAATTTGTTGGGCTGTCATAATATCCAGGTGTTTGTTGTCAAAAGGGAAGTCACTCACATGTCCAGAAACTAAAGGATAAGACAGCCACGGGTTACCAACACCAAAAGCTGAAAAGCACCAAAAGCTTATCTATGTTTTGCTTAGAGGTCTTCACTCAGAAACCTCCTTGTGAATATGCTTTTGCTTTGCTCTGAATTTTTTGCCTATACTTAAAAACAGCGAAGGCTTATCTACGCCAGTAACCATCTCTCGGGAAAACCATTTAGTCCCATGGACCTTGGTTCATCTATGTAAATAACCATTTCTCAGAAACAAAGAGTTGCCACGGGTAGTTCAATAATCAAAGAGTTGTCACGGGTAGTTCAATAATCACTTTGGTTAAAAGAATGTGCGTTCAGGTCGACTCTAACCTGAATCGTTTCAAAGAGCCAAGGTGAAACTGCGATAGGAAAAATGTCAAATCGACCGCAGGACGAATGCATGCTGACAGGCTCACAGCATTGTCAGATTTCCAGCCGTAGATGGCAACCGCTGTTCTCGTCATCTCGAGCATACAGCATTCCTCTCGCGACGGAAATAGCTAGTCCTGATATCACTGCTAACATCAACACCATTACAGTGCCATTTGCCGAATGGCAGGTACCGAGAGGGATGCAACCCGGTACCAGCACGGTGCTCAGTCGCGGCAAGCCGGTGACTCTACTTGTAATTACAACAAACACCTACCACGCAATCCTAGCACAAGGCACAGGGACGAACGATTTCGGGATAGAGCGATGTATACCTATCGCCCTTGATCCTGAACCAGGCCTCGGCGCAGTGGCGGTGCGCGGCGCCGAGCTCGTCCTTGCAGCCGCACCCGATCCGGATCACCTCCGACCCGGGCCCGACGCCGCCCTCCGGGACGAGGTGGCAGATCCGGCACGCAGCGCCGGCGGGGACCGCCGGATCCCCCTCGACGTCGATGACCACCGCCTCCACCGAGATCGGCGGCGAGGCGACGGCCGCCGTCGGAACGGCGGCCGCGTCTCGCCGCATATGCTCCGGGTCGAACGATCGGGGCCCGGTCGGTCTCGGCCGTATCAAGGGCCCTCACGGGGGGATATACTGGGTAGGAGGCGGGAAGGCGGTATAAGAGGCGGCGCGCGCGTGCTTGAGTGCGGGACGGGGTTGGCTTGGCTGGCCGGCTTCGCCTCGCTACGGCCTACGGGGTACGGGCGCGGGAAGCGCCAAACCGGGAGGCGACCGGGCGGGGGCCGGTAGCTTAGCCGTCCGAGACCTGTGTAGACGAGACGACGCGGTGAGTCGGTGAGGTGATTGTGATTTGGTGCGTAGGCCCTGGACGAAGTGGTGATTCGGACGCCTGCCGGCTGCCGGCTTGACACATATACAATGCGCCACCGCGTCACCTTTTTTTTATATTTATTAGCTAAAATTTAAATTTTCAACTTTAAGGTTAAAGTTGATTTTGGATTTTCTCATCATAGTTTATTTTTTAGTCTTTGTTTTTTATCGTTAAGAACACATATATAAAAAAAATATTTATAAATTATTTTTTATTTATAAATATGCTGTTTCGCTTATGTTTATATTCAGCTATCAGTTGCGGTAGTATTTTGTACGCTGCCGCCCCCGTTGTCGCTTGCAGTGCAGCTGTGATGAACTGATGATTTTGTGATTCGTCAGCTCGTTCTTGTTCGCATAAATCTTTGGCTTAAAGTTGGTAAAAGAACTGAATATGTGGTAGTAGCAGAAGCATAGAAGATTCAATGCTTTGTTGTCTGTCAAAGGTGTAAGTCTCCGCGTGTAGTCGGAGGGATCAATCCTTGGCTTGGCAGCTCGCTTCAAGAAATATCCCCCGCACTGATGTCTGGCTTGTCCATGGATGCTTCTCTCGACGAGAAGCGAGGCAAGGTACCATGATCATACCGTGCAGAGTGACACTGTGCCTGCGCGGTAAACTTTCCACCTTTTCAGTCTACACACAAAGAGGAGTTGATGAAATGAATGATGATCATCTGCAACCTTGGATCTCTCAGTCGAAATCAGCTGCAGCCGTTGGATCAAAAGGTAATGGTCCAAATTGACAAAGAAAAATACTATAGTGAACCAACTGGCCTTTTATAATAAAAGGGTTAATTGGATCCATACCATTATAAATTTGCCCGTTTTGAAATACGCCATTACAATTCAACTATTTAAAGTCACGCCATTACAATTTTATAGTTATTGTATATATGCCACTACTTACCCCTTCAGTGCATATGCTAAATATAGTTAGGACCAAATTGTCCATGTCTTCTTCATTCATCCCTTTCCTTTTCCTTCTCTCCTGTTCATCTTCTTCACCGGTAGAGATCTAACCAAGGTTTACATTACCGTCGGTATCCGCGCGGTAACTTGCCTTACCGCGGTGGTACGGTAATAAAAAAACCACGGTAACCTCCTTAAATTTAAATAAATTTAAAAAATAATTTGAATTTTTGATAAATTTTACACGGTTTCGTACGGTTTTTTACGATTACCACGTGGTAACCGTGCTTACCACCGGGGCGTGATAACCCCGGCTCCGGCGGTTTGGAATTCGGAAACCCTGGATCTAACAACCGGTGTCATGGAGCTGCAGCATCCACCATCCCGGCCACGATTTCATCCTACACCACTGGCGCCTGTGCTCCCAGCAGCAAGCAGGTGCCAACGACAGTGAAACCTAGCCTCAGTCAGGAAGTCCTCCATCTCTGTGTCCATCCAGTCCAACCGCTTCCGCTCGAGCCTCGATGAACTTTTCAGATGGCAAAGCTTTTGAGAGCACCTTTTAGCTGATTGGATTATTTACTTTTGACATGTAGAAGTCAGGAAATCTTAGCACGCATGAGCAATTAGCAAATAGATAGACGAAGAATCAGTCACTTTTCAGAGCAGGGAAGCGGATTGATGACCATCGCGGCCACGACAAACAGTGTCCAGTTGGCTAGCAGCACGAGCTTCACCCCTAACATCGGTGGGAGGCTAGTAGCGGGAGTTCCAAATCCGGCTGGCTGGTTTGGGATAAGATGAGCAATGGAGAGAATGAACAGAGGAGGAAGATAGGTGTAATTTGGTCAAAAAGTTTCGGAAAATACATCAAAGGGGTAAATAGTACTCCCTCCATCTACTTTTGATAGCTATATTTCCAAATCTATCTACTTTTGATAGTTATATTTCCAAATTTGAAAAATTTATTTTTGATAGTCATATTTCAATCCAACAACTTATTCTCTTAATGGTTTTCTCGGATTTAATGTGTGACTCTCCATTCTTCCACACGATATTGGTTACATGGGCATCGAGAAATGTAAATATTAATGAATCGCTTGTTTACAATAAATGACTAGTAGCATGTTTAAATAGATGATAAGTAGAATTACTTAGCATGTTTAAATGGATGATAAGTAGAATTACTTATTCTTGGTCTGTGTGTCAAGATAAAATATGACTATCAAAAGTAGCTGGAGGGAATAGCAAATATCTTATAACTGTAAAATTATAATGGCATGAGTCCAAATTGTTGAATCGTAGTGGTATTTTTCAAAACATGCAAATTTATAATGGCATGAATCCAATTAACCCTTTATAAAAACACAATTTCTACTGTCGATGCTTCTGATCGGACAATTGGACGGCAGCGAGCACTGTACAACACATTTCTATCGTTGATGCTTCAGATCAGACGGCAGTGGAGGACCATAATTACCAAAGTGGCAATCCCTGTTATAGCTGTAGCAAATCCCTATCCCAAATCTTCCTTATCCTTGATCTCTTTTCATGTCACCACAGTCCACAAGCCCAAGGAAGAAAGCAACTGCAAATCGGCAGTCTCACCAGCCCCTTGTCTGTTTCACTCCTAGGGATGGAATAAGCTTACAAAAAGATTTTAAAAAGCCAAATGACAGCAAGATCAAATATTATCCATTTTGATATTGTAGGAACAAATAGATGCAACAAAAATTTGTGCTATACTTCTCTCTCTTTTTATGCATCTCACAGACATCAATTTCAGCCCACAGTTCACCTCGAGGTAATAGAATTGAGAAATACAAAAATGACCAGAAACACTTAACTTTGTCCGACAATTGGCAAATTCCTGTAGATGTTGCGGTCATTATCAAAACAATAACACACCCAATCGTTGAGCTGCAAACACAAAAGTAGTTAATATATCACGGTTTTTTCACGGACAAGAAACTTGTGACCACACTCACGGCCAACTTTGGCATAAATGACCTGCACACATCATCCTTCAAATGAAATTGATGATTGATGAAGACTAAAATTTAAAATAGTCAATGGGTCATTTGGCATGCACTAGAACAAGAATGCATCCACAATAGCAAAGTTTGCAACCTCAATTTTATCCTTGGAAACAACAAATCCAGTGGTGCCTACAGTCTTAGATGATCGTGAGTACTTGAAGGAGGATTACCACTAATTTTTCACAAACTTAGAAGCCTGTTAGGTCTCAAGTCATATGTGTAATACTACCTCCTCCCAAAATATAACAACTTTTGGCTATGAATCTAGACACACAGTTGTCCAGATTCATAACTAAAAATGCTTATATTTTGGGACGGAGGGAGTATAAGAGAACACAGATCACAAGATGACAAACAAGATGACTTTGTAGTTTAACTCTATTGACTGAAATCAAATGTCACAAGATCTGTGGCATGTAACTCTATTGATTGAAATAAGATGATACGACAGAAAAATATTGTAGGCGATGAGAAGAGTCAAACAGATCTAGTTTTCCTTAGTGACAACAAAGGATATAAAACCATTCCATACCAAAAAAAATTGAAAGCATCCCAATATATTCCATTATATTATCAACAGAAGAGTGAACTTCATGAAGCCATAAAATTTACAAGGCAAGGCAGTTTCAAAAGAAACACTAGAAACTGAGATAGACTGAACTATGTTCTCTTTGGAAAACGTAAAACTGAAAGACACAAGCCCTTTCAGCTATGCATATTATTTTGGATCAAGATCAAGCACAATCCATATGACAAGTCAAGCGAAAACAATTACTTACGTTTCTAACAACCTGGATAAACTAGAAATGCTGATAACTTATACCTAGAGAAAAAGTTGCAGGTACACTACAGTTCTACACTGAACACGCTCTTGTATGTTTAACTGTCGGCCTGTCGCTACCTCATACAGCTCGTAGAGTGAAAAGCTGAAGGGAAATAAGTAAAATGCAGTGATCCATTAAGCTCGCAATGTAGACTGTTGTATAACACAATAACAGGTTCACCAAAGTAAACTACACCGTAACACACATATAATACCAGTATTTGTAATTAATTGCAACTCAAAGTCTTAACTCTCATCAGTAGCTATTTGGGGAGACCCAAAATTAACAAACATTCAAACAGAAAGGAACTAAAATTATGTAGAAGAAATGCAATACAGGTTGCCGTATCCAATAGACGCGCATCCACGCGGGTCGTGGTGAGGAACAGCCGAATAGCAGCTGGCGAGAATTGAGCTAGGACCCCTAGATTGGGGAGAGGAGCTGGGCGAGGCGGGGCTTGGGCTCGGAGTTCATGCCGATGAGGATGACGAGCGGGATGAATCCGTAGTGGGCCACTACCTTCGCGTTCTTCATCGCCCACGTGGTCCACTCCGCCGCGAGCCGCGCGGCGGTCGCCGCCGCCGTCTGCTCTGTGTCGGCCGGAGCCTTCCCCTTCTCCGCCGCCGCGGACGCCATGGCCGAGAAGATGGGGGAAGATTTGCCGATTTGGTGGAGACTGGAGAGATGGCGATGGCGAGGTCAGGACCGGAGCTGTTTGCGGTTTACATTTGCGAACTGGGGGGCTTATTGCAAAATGACATTATACTGTTTGCTCACCTAATTGTTGCAAAAACTAAAAAACCAATAATTTGGGGGGTTTATCTGAGAAATAGCCAAACTAAGGCGAACTCGTATTGGAGAAGGCACAAGCAAATCCGCCGCAGCTTCGGGCTCTGCACCCACCGGCGGCAAGCAGGGGAGGGAGAAGAGGAGAAGATGGGTGGGGGCATGGAGGTGCACAAGAACCGGTGGATCGAGGAGTGGAACGCCGGCCGCGAGAACCTCGAGTTCAACTTCCGCTGGACGCGCCGCAGCCTCGCCGTCGTCGGCCTCTTCGGCCTCGCCGTCCCCATCCTCGTCTACAAGGGCATCGTCCGTGAATTCGTACGCGATCTTCCAGTCCCCTACTCCCTTCCCCTGTCCTCCCCGCTGCATCGTATTCCTGTTTGCTTGTAGCTTCTGTTAGATTCAGATTGGGGTTGCTCGGAAACTGCTGCCCACATTTGCTGCGGTGGAATGAACTTTTTAACTCCTAATTGAAGTAAAAATGCAACCTAGCTATCGAAAGTTAGCGTCATTCCTCGGAAAACGTCTTTATGCAGTTAACTGTTCCTGCTAATCAGGTCAAAGAGATTTGAAGTCTGAGTTCATCTTCTAAGGAGGATCAATTAATCAAATGTGTTGTTTTTTCCTTACAAAATGAACCTCTGATGATCGGTTGATCTTGAGAGTATGTAAGAGAATAACAGATAAATTACCTTCTGAACAAGAGCTTTTAGACTACACAAGTACCTTTTTGTAGGCATTAACACCTATCATGGAAATTATCTACTCCGATCCCTTTTGTTACAGTAAGTCCTACTGTTCTAGCTTGATGTCTCACGATGGGCTCCGTCGTGGTAGCTTAGGTTAGGTTAGTTGGTGGGTTGTTGTAGTGTTGGTTTTCACTCAGTTTCCCCTAATTAACTGAGCAATGTAAGGTTTGGTCATATTTTCTCTTTAAAATGGGAGGCCTTCTTCTTTATATAAAACGTCGGGAACGGTCAGCCGTTCGAAAAAAAAAAACTGTTATAGCTTTTTTGTGGTTTCCTCTCTGTTTCTTATTATGGATGCAGACAACTCTACAAGTTTTTTAGAACCATACTGTCCTACAGGCTAGGCTACAGAGTCATCAAATTGGGTTCTTTCACATAATGTCATAGAAATCATCTGCAACATTATCCATGGAGCTATGCTGGAGAGCATTGAGGCATTTGGAGCATCTAACTAGGATATTGCTGGAGTGCCTCTTAGATGGAACACTAACTTTCTATCCAAGATCTGTATATAATTATGACAAAAGGATAAAAATGGCTCACATATCCTACATAAACCTTCTCCTCTAATGACCCTGATGTTTGGTAGGTCTACTTTAGCAGGTGCTGTATTATCTCCATTGATTTGGCATGAGTGGAATTACTAACCAGGATTGAGGGTTATGTAATACCTGTTTATGTTTCATTTCAACCTTCACTCACTGTAGCTGATTAAATAGGAAGCAAAAGCTAGATGACAACAAATCACAAGGACTGTTTATACGGTTTAGTACTTTGATTTCTGTTAACGTTCTGCTTGCTTATGCTTATAGCCCCCAAATCTTGTATGTTATCTGTTATTTTTCCCCATTTCCTACTATGATTTGAGATATTTTTCGCCTAACATTCCCATCACCATCACCTATTTTCATTCATAAGCTCAATTTTCTTAGCTCATCCTTCTTTCCTACCAACTGTATATTAATCAGAATCTACTGTTCTGTTTTGTACCTCTTCCGATTACAAGTGTTTCTATAGGTGGCCGTTGAGCTTTTTGGACAATCACCTTTTTTTTTACTTCTTCATTTTGGTTTCTTGTTTTAAATTTGCTTCTGTACCTTTGTTGTCTCCTATATTTCAAACTGACTATTCTAGTCCAATTTTTATCATTGAGTGTATGATTTCCTGTCCCTTTTTTAATCAACCCAGCATTGCTGGTTTTATATTGAAGATAGAGTAGCACTGTACTACAAGTTACAATTGGGGACCTAGAGAAAAACAGAAAAATGTAGGCTTGAGCATAGTCCTTAACTCCTTATGGACCATGCCTGTATTCTTTCCCTGGAAAAGAAGAGTAGAACCCTAGAAGCCTTAAAGGTCTGCCAAATTATTCTATGTAGATCTGAATGTTACAGTTAGATTTTTCTTTCCATGTGTGGCGGATCTGGATTGCCCCCATAACCATGTCCTCCCTGTCGACATTCACTGATAGGAGTGCATCGTTATGTTGCGGTGGTTTCCATGGTACCATTTTGCATTGTACAACATTATGGCTCGCTATTATTTTGAATTTTCTCTGTTCAACCTGTTTGCCGTTAACAAGGCAGCTCCAAAATGATTATTTGATACTGAAGACAACCTACAGCAATATGGTTGCTAAGGAAAGAACAATTATGTCTGCTTTGTCAGATGCTCTAGATCTTCATCTCAAACAAGCTTACTATTTATTTTTTGTTCTCACATTGACATTGAAATGTTATTGTTTTGGATTTACATCTATGCACATGATACATCTTTTTGTTGATGTGCATACATGTGAATGGGTTCATAGTCCCGTCTTTACTATGGTAACAAGTAAAAGCTATTTCTAGTGTAGTTTCAACAAAATTTCTGCAGATTTTACTTGATAGCATTATCTAAGATAGCCAATTGAAACAATGTGGGAGTTATAGTTGGGTTTTTACTTTTTAAAGTTTCTGAATCGCAGCACATGCAAGATGAGGATGCTGGAAGACCACCGAGGAAGTTCTTGTAAGTTGTAACCAGCCAGAATCATGCTAGTTTTGTTTTAAGAAATAAATGCCTTTACCACACGGCACACCCTGGCGATTCCAATCTGAGAAACATGGTGACACTCAGTTCTGCACTTCTGCTTGTAAGCTTTTAGCTGCTGTGCTCTGCTCCAAGTTTTGTTCTGAGGTATACCTATGTAACCACCGTTATATCAAGAACTACTCTCTTCCGCATTTAAGCCAATCCAAACACTATCTTAATCGTGCTGCCGTGCTGGTGAGTACTGGTTCTTCAGAACTTGGCCCAAAATTTACCTTGCCTTTGGTGGTTAGTACCCTATATATTGCGCGTCTTAAAATTCAGCTATTGTTTCGTTGAACGAAGCTGCGTTTATCCTTTGCCACTAAACCGTGTTGCTCTCGCAAGATGTTATAATTATGTGAAGCTGCTTATATTCATAGCATTGGAAAAACATCGATTCACTGGTAACCAGCCTTTTTACGCCCTTTACCTCGTCGATTCAAAGATACAAACCGATAAAAAAAATCTAGGCGAAATTTCCTAATCTTTCCTATTTTCTTTGAAAGAAAATATCAGGGCCGTTTGATTTTCGATCGGACGGCTCACACCCAGCCATCTTCCTTCCGGCCCCACCCAATCCACTCCCAGCCCAGCAGAGCTCCAGTACTCCCCATTCCGTCCGTGCCTCCCCCTAACCCCAACCCGCCTCCAGCTTCGCGCCGCCTCCAAACCCCCACAGTCCGCCGCCGGCGGCCATGCTCCTCCACCACCGCCTCCTACCTCGCCTCCTCCTTTCCCCCTCGACCCCGGTCACCACCACCCTGCTCGTCCACCGCACCTCCCTCTTCCCGACCCGCCGCATCCTCTCGCCCTGCTGCTCCGCGCTCTCCCAAGTGGCGGCGGCGCCGGAAACCGTCGACCACTCCGACGGCGACGAGCCCCAGGGGGATGTGCAGGTTCAGCTACCTCTCGACCGGCTCTTCGTGCCGCCCGGGGCGAGCGTGTCCGCGGGGGACGCCGAGGCGGTGACCGCGCGGGTCCTCAAGGGCTCCAACATCGTGCTGGGCCCGTACGCGCGCGGCGACGCGAACGTGATCGCCGCGGACTTCGTGAAGAGCAGCGTCCGCCCCGATGACTGCCCCAGGGACGGGCTACCGGAGTTCGCCCTTGTTGGCCGGTCCAACGTCGGCAAGTCGTCGCTGCTCAACTCGCTCGTCCGGCGCAAGCGCCTCGCGCTCACTTCCAAGAAGCCTGGTAGGCTGTTGTACTTTTGGGGATAATGGCTAAGCGGATGTTAACCTGTTTAATGTTTTGCATTATTGGATTTGGGGGTTTACTGGCTAATATAGCAAGACGTTTATTTACAAGCTAATATCGGTACTAAGAAACCAATTCTTCATTTCTTTTATCCAGTTAATTAATGCATGATTTTTCTTGTTGCAGGGAAGACACAATGTATCAACCATTTCAAAGTAAACGACAGTTGGTACCTTGTTGATTTGCCTGGTTATGGGTACCCAACTTTTAGCCCACTTTCAATTTTGTTAATTTCCTTCTTTATCTTGGAGTTTAATACATTGTGTTTAAGCATGATTTAAGGAATTAAGTGGATGTCGATTATAACATAATGGGTTGAGGGTGTGTTCTTTGTTATACACGTAGCAATCGGACATGACTCATGACATAATATAATGCAAATTGCATTAGCCTATATTGTTGATAAAATATCTCCGTCTATTTGGACTTAAAATAGAGCTTGTTCAACAGGTATGCTGCTGCACCACAAGAAGCTCGCACGAATTGGGATGAATTTACTAGAAATTACTTCCTCGGCAGGGAGAATTTGGTATCAGTTTTTCTCCTAGTAGATGCAAGTATTCCAGCTAAGAAGATTGATCTTGACTATGCTAGCTGGCTTGGTCAAAACAAGGTAAGACATAATTCTTAAACAACTAAACTAACCCTTCATTTATCAATTAACTATACCATCATCCTTCCATATCAGTGTTAGTACCAGTCCTTGGTATTGTTAGGAGAAACTTTAGTTGATCAGAACAAAATAAGAAGATTACTGAAAGTCTACAAGCAGGATGAAATGTCAATGTCAATTTATTAAGTTGCATGAGTGCATGATCATAGAAATAGAATGATCATTTATCAATATCCTGTGTGAATGAATGATGTTAGTCTGTCTTGCTAATTTAATTAATTTACTCTTAAAATTGAAAGATGTATTCCTGTGACCCTGCTGAATTGACGATCTTCCGTTTTGTTTTCATGAAACAAATTACTACACTATAAATTTCAAGTCCCTCTTAATGTGTTATTCTTATGAACTCTCAGAGGGCATGCGTCATGTTAAAAATTTTCAAGTAAGCATAAGTATAAATACATTAGTGACTTAACAGGTCACAATTCTCTGTTTCTTGTAATCTGTCATTTCTATTAATGGAATTGGAGGGCTTTTTTGCCCTTTGCTTAAAAAAAAAAACAGGTCACAATATTTTATTTCACCTATCATGATCTGATGCAATATTGGAAGGTTTGAACATTATGATTTAAAACAATAAAGTTCTTCAAATATAGAAAAGTACACTCAGCAGTCAGAAACTTAGTGTTGATTGGCATATTCGACGGAAGTCTCATTGTTTACAGACCAAATCTAGTCCTTAAAGTGGACTCTGACTCTGAGAATGCCTTCCACAAATTTCCTTTTTTGCATAATTTGAAATAATGTCAAAATCTTTACTACAATAGTTCTATAATTTTCTTAAAAGAAAAGATGAACTGCATGTCCACATCTACTCTATTATAAACATAGCAGTGTTATCTTCATGCTTCATTTGTGGGGTCAATTGTTTGAACCTTCTAATAACATGAATAGTAAAATATGATCCAGCATGAAGCCTTATAAGGAGCCTCAGATGCATATAAATCAATGACAATTGACAAGTCTTATGCAAACAGAAGCCATAATAAATACAAAGAGTGCAAAACTACATAGAGATGAGTAGGTTCGAATGAACAGCCAAAGCTAAAAAAATATGAGTGCATGGCTAGATAGAATTATGAAAAGAAGATTGCACAAGGATAGGAGAAAACACCAAGAAACATGAGCACAATAGCCAGAACATTTACTTTGTATTTCCAGAGTCAAGCTGGATGCTGCAGGTTTGGTTTAGTTTTGAGAGAGATCTTTGAGTAATAACCAGAATCCAAATACCAGGCTATACCATGAGCTCAATGGTATGCATCAAGCCACCAACACAGTGAGTCTGCTGTATAGTTCTATGTTAAATTAAAAAAAATGCTCACATTGTCATACCCATAGATACATATCTAGCAAGACAAACATGGTAGTACCTGACCAGGAACTCTGTAAAAGTTAGAGCTTCATGCACTATTTTGCTGTTCTGGAGCCTGTTCTCGTTTCATTCCTTGTGTAGTACGCAGTCATTCCTTGTGTAGCACTGCAGTGCCCCCATCCACCCACCCGTCCACCCGTTCTGTGCAATAAGAGCAAGTATAATAGTAGGCTATAAGCCGGCTAAATGCTGAGATGGAGGAGAGAAGAGAGGAGAGAGAGGAGAAGCGGGTTGTATACTTACAGCCGGCTTCGACACAAGAATCAAGAAACTTAGTGAGAGAGACAAGTGGGCCCTGTATTAATTGTAAAGAGCTAACTATTATATGGGTAGGCTGAGAAAAGGCTAAAAAAAACCTTATAGCCAACAGGTTGGCTCTATTATTAAACTTGCTCTAAGGCTTGACTCTGAACTTTTGGACCGCTTGTCCTACGCAGTCAATGTGAAGAAAGCGACCTTTATTAGCTATATATTTTATCCTTTTATTGCTGCCTTCCCCCAGCGATGCAGCGACCGTTATTACACCCTTTTTGAGTTTCGACTACTCCTTTTATTCTGTAATTCAGTGCAAAATACAGAAATCCTCTCAGACAAGTAACTACGTTGGAATTAACCTAGTCCCGGAGACACCATTAAAGACTTCTTCAAACGTACAGTAATGAAGTGACCACATGTACACTTGATAACAGGAAAGCTCCATATTGTGCATTATTGTCTTGCCTAATTGTTTCTTTGATGCATCTATATGTGTAAATCTAATCAAAGATGTCTGAGTGTATTTATGAATGTGTTGTGTAGGTGGTATTGATATTGCATTAAACATAAACTATTATTGGCATGTGATGTGCATACCATTGGCACTGCATCAAACATTAACTGTTATTAATTGATGATATTGATAAAGACGTGGACGGAAAATCGTGGTATTGTTCACTTGTAATGTTCTTATGTCCATTTGTTCAGGTCCCCATGACGCTAGTGTTCACAAAATGTGACAAACGCAAGAAGAAGAAAAACGGTGGCAAAAGACCGGAAGAAAATGTAGAAAACTTCCAGAGCTTGATCCGTGAATATTTTGAGGCAGCACCCCCTTGGATCATGACGAGCAGTGTCACCAATCAAGGCCGAGACGAGATACTTCTGCACATGTCTCAGCTCAGGAACTATTGGCTCAAGCATTAAGATGAAATAAAAATACTAATACTAGAACTCAAGCAGCAGCAACGCATGCAAACCCTGTTGCTCATTGATGCCTCGGCAATTCAGCACCTTTGCAATCAGGCCTTCACCAACTGACTTGCCTTTTGAGCTGTTGATTGTAAACTATTGCCTCTGTACATGATTACTCAATCAACAGATTGGAGAATTGGGGAATACAAACAAGCTGCTACATCAACTACCCTAGGTTTTCTATTTGTATATCGTACAATCTCAGCTTTTTCTGTTTGTTGTTTTCTGATTATAAGCTGGAGCATTCTGTTGGTTAAAAACAACTGCTATCAGCTGGTCATGATTGGGAATCCCAGTTTTTGTTTGTTATGTGCTCCCTTGGACCCTGCATCACACACATGGCAAGGAGTACATGCATGATGCATTTGACATGTTAAAGAATGATTTGTGTGATGTACAGAGTATTGAAAATGCCATATTATTGGGATATATTATACAATGTTTTCTTTTATCTTAAGGTTCAAGACCTTTCAAGGAACGGTTTCTGTGATGGGCAGAATGCATGGAACAGGCCACATTATTGGGATCCATCATACAATGGTTTCTTTTATCACATGCTTAATCAAGTGCGTGCTGGCACAAGTCCGCCTGGAGAATGGAGATAGAAAAATGCTCAGGTAATTGCAGGCTAGTTTGATAGTACTAGTAAACTGTTCTTATTAGTAGGATCCCATGCTGATGTGTGTTTCGTTTGTTAGGCCTCTCTCCTTTCTTAGGTTTGCCCTTCCCATCTGTCCTCAGTTCTGTCTTACTGCTAACAAAATACTTAACACCTGTATGTTTGTCTTTATAAGGTCAGATCTTAAAAGTCGCGCGCCGTCTACGTGATAGATATAGTAGTTAGTACTATAGTAGATAGACACTATTGTGCTTATTAAACCCCAAAAGAACAGCTCAGCTGGCTCCCACTCGCACAGCTGGAGGACGCACTTGGCACTAAACAACGCATTAGGGGCAAATCGACTTCTAATGCCACGAAGAAGCTGCATTCGACAAATTGACAAAGTGAAGCTTATACATGGTTCTGTTCAACGCTTCAATGAACGTGTTGATTGCTTCGTAAAAGTAAAACTACACTAGCATGTACTATTGGTACCGTCCAGTGGTGTACAGGCTACAAACTGAAGAGTTTGCCGTGGTCAACACTAGCACATGCCCGGCCGGCCGACTGTACAGTAAAACTGGGGGGCAAGTTGCAGCCTTGCAGTCTTGCAGAGAGCAGTTCACGCTCAGAAAGAATGTATGCCAAGTCGCCAACCCGCCCACAATTCCTTCTCCCTTTCCCTTTCCATCTCCTCTCCCAATTTGTGTCCCAAAACTGCACCAACACTGCAACTCACCTTGTTCAGCATCAGTTCACAAGCTGCCCTATGGATATGATCCTTTGTTATCCACGTGCACGCAATATCACGAGCCACCCCCCAGCAGAAGCCAACATTACCGCAAGATAATATAAGCCGAAACATCCAGCCAGGAGAGGCCGGGGCCGGGTCGCAGCCAGTCACGCAGCAGAGCGCGTAACCGCCGCCTCGGGCCATTTCTCACACAAACTCCCACTACGTTACATGTATCCTGTCACGGTCAGCCACGTCGCGGAGGGCAGTGCGACCGAGCGAAGCGAGCGCCCACGTCCCCGCGCACTCTGGACTGGCGGTTTTTGTTCTGTAGCTAGCGGCTAGCGCTTGTGCCACAACCAGTTTAAAGCCCCGCGAGAGGGCGCGCATTACCCCTCCTGGACGAATGAGATAGACCAACCCCCCACTCCCGCGCGCTCATCCATCCATCCATCCATCCATCCATACACGCAGCGCACGAACAAGACAGAGTCACGGGCACGAAGTCACTCATGGACGGCGGCGGCTCAGGCGCCGGGCGCAAGAAGCTGAAGCACAGGCTCGCTGCCATCCTCTCGGTCTTCACCAGGCGGGCAGGTGACAGGAAGCGCCGCGGCGAGGAGGGGGCGGCGGCGCCGCCGCCGCCGCCGCCGCCGCTGGCATTCCCCTCTTACTCCCGCCTCGGCGGCGCGGGCGGCAAGAAGGCGGCCGCGGGGAAGCACGAGCGCCGGCTCTCCCTGTCGGTGCCGCGCCCGCCGCCGCTGGTCAATATCACCATCGACTGCGCCGGCCGCCGCTCCGTCGACGCGGCGGACCCGTCCCTCCTCGCGCCGCTCGACCTCGACGCCAGGAAGATGGAGAGGCGGCTCACGGGGACGGGGCTGCCGTACGAGACCGGCGAGTGGGAGGGCCGCAAGTGCCCGCCCTCCACGCCTTTCGCCGCGGCTCCACCGCTGGCGCGATGGAAGGAGCGGGCCAGCGTCTCGTCGCGGAGGCTCTCGACGCACTCGTCGCGCAGGCTGATGAGCAGCTCGTCCTCCGACGACGAGTACGACGAGGACTCGAGGAACCTCTTCTCCTCCAGGAGCTTTTCCTCCGACTCGTCGGACTTCTACAACTGCCCGCGCAAGAACACCAGGGCGCGCGCCTCAGTGTCCGGCCCGTGCCGCGCGCCGCCGCCATCCTCGCGCCGCGGCACGTCGCAGAGCTGCCGGTACAGCTTCGAGCTTCCGCGCGGCTCGACGGCTTCGGCGGCAACCGACGGCGGGTTCGCGGTGGTGAAGCGGTCGTCCGACCCCTACGAGGACTTCCGCAAATCAATGGAGGAGATGATCGCCGAGGGGGCGGCGTGCGGCGGCGGCGACGGCGACGGGGAGCTCAGCGCGGAGCGGCTGCTGGAGACCTACCTCGTGCTCAACTCGCCGCGGCATTACCCCGCGATCCTCGCGGCGTTCGCCGACGTGCGGGAGACGCTTTTCCCCTGAATCCGTCGACCGATCGGCCTGCACCGCCGCACCGGCGTGGCGGTGTGATGTTCATAGGACTAACTTCCATGTCAATGTCAGTAAGATTAGTAGCACAAGAGTTGAGCGGTTGAGCCTGTGACTTCCTGTGTGTACTTTCATGAATGCATCGTTTGTGTCATTTCACCGCTGATTCTCCTTTACCTGCTAACTTCTGCCTAATTCAGACTCCGTATGTAAAAAAAAAACAGACTCCGTCGTCTCTCTGTGTAATGGTACTCTTCCTTGGTTCCTGATAATCACGTTTGAGCTTGTATAGTACTTCTGTGCTAATTACAATGAATGGCAGAGTTTGTTTCATTGAATTATACTCTGTTTTTTTTTTTGGCAATGAAAACAAATACCCTGCTTGATTCACCCTTTCACTTCAGGCTGGGTGTTTTGATGGAATGGATTTCTTCCGTATCTACTTCGGATTTTGATTAAATTACTTCTCGTTATAATTTGGTCACCTAACCAAACGTCTCGCGCTTCACATTTGACTCGAAATCATACTTCTAACTGCCAGGTTTGTTGAACTCTTTATATAGTCAATGTCCTCTAATTCACAAATCAATCTACGACTTCCCTTTCAAAAAAAAAAAAAGAAAATCAATCCACGACCTTAGCCCTTTGGCACATGTGTGTTGGTTTGCACCAAAAGAAAATATATATTGTCTTTGACGAACTTGAATATATTCTGTGATTTTCATTCTGACTCTGCTCCTATACAATAACAGACAAAATCATGAAGGAGTAGTCTGGAAACAAAGAAGAAGTGCCAAATCAGCAAGGTCCTCTCCTTTCCAAGTAAACGCGACGCATATGATAAGCCCTGTGGAGGTCTTGTCCTCCCCGTATGCATATGTCTACTCCTACTTACGAGTATTAGCCTGTAGATTGGGGATACTGCACTGCCCCTGCCTGCAGCTTAATTTTAGCTAGCTTGTGCAGCAGGGGAGGGCTCGAGCGTTTGGAGCGGCCATGTGCAACGGTTGGCGAATTGGCGCGGTTGGTGGCCACCACATCAGACGGACCGGTAGATAGACAGGAGATGGTTGGCGGCGAATCGCGCCAACCGGGGACTCGCGTACCGCTTTCTCCTGCGCCGTCGCCATCGGCGGCGCGTCGATCGACCGAACCGTCCTCTCCCCGCGCGCGCAGGCCACGGCCCACGGGCAAAAGCCCCAGCCGGGATTCCGCGCCTTTGTACGCATCTTGGAGTATACGGACAGCCTCGTCGTCTGAATATGCTAAATGGAATATTTGCAAACGAAAATTAATTTATAAATAAAACTTTTATATATGTGTTTTTAGCGATCTAAAAGCAAAAGACTGAAAAATAAACTTCGATGAAAAAAATCCCAAAATTAATTCCAAATTTAACGTTGAAAATTTAAATTTTGGCTGATAAGCATAGGAATATGCTAGGCCCGGAGTACTGTACGTGCGCGCGACGAGTTACACGGGCTTCTCAGCGCGACGTGACCTCACCGGCGTCCGCGAGCGCGTGACCGACGCGACGCGCTTCGTCGCGGCGCAGGCTGTTCCCATTCACCGTCGCGTCTCGTCTCGTCGCGCGCCGTGTACAGTTTTCGGCGAGTGATTCCTGGACGTACGTACGTACGTAGACTCGTAGTCGTTGAGAGATCGATCGGGTGCGTGCGTTGCGGGCGGTTTTCGGGATCACTTTGGTCGTAGGCCGGGGAGGGGACGAAAAGGTCGTGGCTGAAAGCACGTATCGAAGCGTGGCAGATGACCCCCCGGGGGACTTCTTTTTCCGTGATCGACGTGATGTTTTTTGGCGCCGGGCCGGGCCGGCTCCGGATACCACGAGGTCACGTTGCGGTCGCGTCTTGTCGATGCTCAGGTCAGATGAAGCAGAGACGTGACAATGCACCGCTTATCTTGTGTGCGCTAACTGCTAACCCACGTTTTATGTTGGACCCGGGTTTTGGAAATCGGTAACAGTAACTTTGAGTACTCCATATAAACTCACCATCGAGATGCCCTGTGTCCTCCATCCATGGGGGGACAGCTAATTAACACACGACCTAACTTTGTACCGCTACCAAACACTCTGGATTCTGGAATAGTGCATCGGAAATCGGCAGGCACACACACGGATCAGCCGATGCATGCATGTATCGCCATTCGCCCCCTGCGCCAGCTAGAACACCCAACAAAGATTCCGCCACTCGCAGCCGGCCGAGCAGCTGGCCACCGGACGACGAAAATTCTTTACTTCGCTTGTCCGTGTGCAAACGAACCGGGGACGAAGCTCACAGCCCTCAATAGTCAATTACTCAAACGACACATGAGCCCTCAATAGTCAATTACCCAAACAACACATTCAGATTACTTCAGTACTATGCTTTGCGTTGCATGGCATCTCCTGTCTCGACGTGGCACCAAGGGAGAACGCACGCTGCTAGATCGATAGAGCAGAGTACCGTGGTACGAATAGTCGAATAGCTGTGTGCTAAGCTAGTGATGAGAATCTAGGATGATTAGATAATGGAGAAGAGTTTGTCCCCCCTAATTATTGCCGTGGCTAGCTAAGCTAGCACGCGTTAAATTATCGTGGCTGGATGTAGTTTCGGTTTGTCCTCTTCGTGTTTTCTGTTTTTTTTTCCCGTTCGTGAGCATGAGTTGTGTGCACGTACGTAGCGACAGCCATTACACATTTACACCGACTTTGTCCTTTTATCTACTGTAGCGGTGAGCGTAGAGAAGCCGTAGATGTCGCTTCTTAAATATTGCTCCGTGCTCAGTACTCGCAGTCGATCAACGCAGATTAGCTCACGAGGATTACCAGTATCAGATACTAGTTACTGTGGTACAGTAGCACTGTAGATGACTTGAAGTTGTAGTACACTGTACCCTCAGAAAGCTGTGTGCTGTTAAAAGAACACGCAAAGCTAGACAGGCAGCACAGCAGTCTGAACTTTGTAGTAGTACGTTTTTGCACTTGAACGTTTCTATTGACGCAGATTGCTTCTACCACGTATTTTTGGTAGAATATGCATGGTAATTAACACTGTAAAATATTTGTGTCAAAACTGTCAATTCAGAGACCGGAATCATTTGAACGTGCTGGACTTGGCTCACAATTCTGAAAGCCCAAAGTCCGATTGAGTGGTACTATGGGAAGAAAACAAGTGAAAATCTTACACAATCTTATGAACAGGAACAGGGTTAATTAGTTAAATTCGCAGTAGGCTTTGAGAGGAATGCCCCAAGTGAAGACTTGTCAACTGTGATTCGTGTTGTACTAGCTGTATACACATCACAACAACCGGGTTTTAAGGGCCACGAGCACGACATAGATTTATCCTCTAGACACACACTGACACACTAGTATATCGGTACAGTACTACTGCTACCGTGCGTGCTACGAGATGAATGAATGAATGCACTGTCCAGTTTTGTGGAATGCATTGCTCTATCCAGAAATTTTAGAAATTTACGTAGCTTCTCCTCGTGGTATTTCGACCTTACATTAGTCTTAAATCTGAATGTACATTGTAAGCATACTGTTCATCAACTCATGCATCCATCGAAATAACTCCAAAGCACGTACGTACTCCATATCATCCCATGATTATCTTCAACGGTATGTTAACCGACCTGCATATTATACCTCATCAGTCCATCAAAGTATTTTGAATTTTGTACGTTAAGCTCTTCCATTTGAAGCATTACAAGTTTATACAGCTTATTCGTCATCCATGAAAATCTACTCAGACGGAGGAAACAGAAACACGATGACATTTTTCACAATGATCAGGTTACAGTAACTTGTAAAACTGTTGAGTGGTACTATTTCCTTAGTCTATAAATACAACCTAGTACACATGTGATATATTATAAAACTACGAGTCTAGATATGTGATTGTCCATATTCATAATTTTAGAATATATCATATCTATATTATGCACTTATACTTAGGACAAACGGAATGGAATAGTAATCAGCAAGTGTGAATACTGACGAAATTATGACTAGATTTCACGCTGAGCCGCTAAAGCACTGCTCCTGCATCCCCATTCTCTTCTGCGGGTCTGCGGCCTGTGAGATGGGATGTCTCGCTGGGCCGATTTCGATACCATTGGGCACTGCTCTAGTGTGGGCATTGGTACTTCGGTGTCAACCACTCGACTCTCTCGGCGAAACAGTGAATTAAGCTGAAAAGGCAGATCGAGTGACAGACACACAGGATACCAATACCGTTCTAGCTGTAGTGATACCTAGATTTTTTTTCTCTTTTAGGAGTGTATATGGCTACACTATCTCACAGTATTATAACTTTATTACTATTTCTTTTTAAAATATAAACCATAGGAGTATAAAATGGTGATTGAACTGTTTTTTTTTTACAATAATGTGACTTGTAGATTTGCAGGGAACACCTGTCGACACTTTCTACTATCCTATCCAAACGGACGGCGTAGCGCAGTACTTGTGGTCCATCGAACAACGGAGAACCAACTGAAGAAGTTAATTTGTACTGATTTTTGAAGTTGGGGAGGGGTTATACCTGGTTTTGTAGTTGAGGGATGCTGTTAGACCAAGGGCAAGGTAAGAAGGGAGGTACAATAGATTATTCCAACACCAATTGTTACTAACTTGCGAAGTTGCGATTTCCAGCCCATATGTAGGAAGCCCACTTCTCGGCCCAATCTGTCGGCGGGCGCACTACTTTGGGCGGGACTCGAGGAGCTCGTGGCCGGCCGAATCCATCGCTTCTAGGAGAGAGGGGACAACAGTATTACAGTAGCCTCCGGATTCCGGAGGCGTAGCACGGAAGCTTCCGATCGCAATGGCGCCCGAATCCGGTCGAGGTTTCGCCTTCGCCGGTGATCGGAGGCGGCGGAGGCCCCTCCGGGAGCCCAGCGCTCTCCGCTCAGCCGCCGCGGCGCGGTCGGATCGGGCTCGCGAGGCTAGGGTTCCGAAACTGCCCTGATACTAGCGAGGAGGTGAGTCCCCGTTGCTTACTCGCCGTCGCGTAATGTCTGGTTCCGTGCTTGGTTAGTTGGTTTCATGGTTTGGTTGGGGTTTTGAGTGTTGGTGCGCTTCTATTGCTTCGATCGTGAGGAGAATTAGCATGCGGAGTGGTTCGGGCCGGCCGGATCGGGCAGGATTAGTGCGGAGGACGCTCATGTCCCAGTTGCGTCCAAAGTTTCGAGTGACATTGGCTTTCCTGGTGGATTAGTTTCTAGAAGGTGAGAGTTTGGTACATGGATGCACGGTCCCTGTGATTGGAATTAGATTAAAAAGGCATCCCCTATTGTTTTTGAGGTGTTGGAGGAAGTTGTTAGTACTACAGAAGGATGTGTCGTGCTAGAATAGAAAATGTTGGATGAGACCACCGCGATATATCCCTAGCTATTTCTGGTTCCTCTGCTAGTCACGGAACAGTTGTGCGTTGTAACACTATGCTTTTGGCATCCTCAATTTTCCAAGTTGTGGGACAAAGCATAGGCAAATTAGTTATTTCCTCCGTTTCATATTATAAGACTTTCTAGCATTACCCACATTCATATATATGTTAATGAATTTAGACATATATGTGTGCCTAGATTCATTAACATCTATATAAATGTGGGCAATGCTAGAAAGTCTTATAACCTAAAACAGAGGTAGTATTATACATTTGTCTTCGTGCGATGTAGCATTCCTTCTTCTAGTAATCAATGGGGAGTCTGCCTACAGCAAGCTTGAACCCAAGTCTGAAATGTTACATAATACTTCATCCGTTTCACAATGTAAGTCATTCTAGCATTTCCCACATTCATATTGATGTAATATGAATGTGGGAAATGCTAGAATGACTTACATTGTGAAACGGAGGTAGTAGATAATAAGATAAAACATATCGATTTCTGTGGATATTGTTATGAATAAACAACTGTAACATGTATGTGTTGTGATGTTGTTAATTGCCTGTTAAGCACACAATTATGTCAATTGCTTGCCACCTAACCCTAAACTTTCATGAAATCAGTATTGTGAAGGGAGATTTATGACTTAATGTGTTGTTTGCATTGTTGTTAAGTATGCTTTTAGAATTATGAAACTAATTTACTTCTCATGCACAGCTTAATTTTTTATATTCGATACTCCCTCCTTGAATCTGGTCCATGATAGCTTTAGCCTGCTTATTTATTGTGGAATTATATTCTATCAAATGCCGTGCAACAATGCTAGAATAGCTAAGTTTTCTCTTTTCTTTCCACAAATTGTAATTGTTCTTGATTGATATTTTTAATTATACTAGCATACAGCATATGGGCAATCATTTCTGATCACTATCCTCAGGGGAATAGCACTACCTAATAAATATTATTATATTATGACCCATATTTTGTTATCTCAATGGGGTTTTGGACTGCACTCAAAATCTCCATGCCTGTATACTAGCTCACCAGGTATAATTAATTTGCATATGTTCTTTTAGTAGCAAATCTGCTTACATTTTCTTCCTGCGGACGTTTATGATGAAGCATGCAAAGTTTCATGTTTGAACATGGTTTGGAATAAGAACACTAAATTTTGGGCATGCTTTAATGATAGTAGTTTCAGAATTTCAAAATTGAGTTGGGTTGGTGAAATTCGAAACGCAAACTGTAATAATATATTAAAATGGAAGAGAGGGTGATAAATAGAGGGGGAGAGAGTACACATTCCGGAATATGGTTCTTCACTTTTCTTACCATATTGTTTTAAATACGGCCAAATATGGAGATGCCCAACTTATGATGCCCACGCATGAGCTTACGCATGTTGTGCGCACAATAATATTGCTTATAAATACAATTTGATTGAGAAATGAGGAACTCTATACCCTCCAAAATTGTTCCAACTTATAGACAAGGCCTGCTTTCCCTGAAATACCTATCTTTTTGCTGATCCAGTTAGTTTGTATTGTCTCCTCAACATGACTTAAACTATTAATGGAATCGCTTAACTTTTAATAGCTTTGGTGAGAGTTTGGCTATGTAGGAATAACATTCTTGGGAACCAGGATTAATTGTTTCTATCTCTGTCGTCACTAGAACGTTTACTTGCACAACACTAGACTATTATTTGTTCCGAGGTGCTTTTCTGTTTATCTTTGTATTCTCTATGTGATGAAGTTTTGCACTCAGGAGATGGATTTGCCATGTCATATGCACTTCAATCATGAATTACACAAAAAGCACCCCATATCAAAACCATGATAATTACACAAAAGTACCCCATCTCAAAACCAAGATTCGTCCAATTATTTTGTTCCTGTATTATTCTTATTTGCACCCTGGTTAAAAAAATAGAACTTAAGTTCCGAGATATATGCTGTTTTCTCTAATATTTTGATTCAGATAACCTTTGTCACCCTTACTAGGATCAGCAACAAATTCATCAATGTATTCGATTTTTACTGCTTTATTTATTGAAAAGCAACTTACCATGAAAAACAACATTTTTTTTCTGATATTTTGATTTAGATGAACCTGTCACCTTTACTGTGATCTATTTGCCGTTGCAAACACACCACGGCCCTCACTGTGCCTCCTTGCTTTCTGTAGAAGTAGAATGGATGCTTCACACAATGTGTGGAGGTGAGTTCTCTCATATATATATATATATATATATATAGCTGAGTTACATCAAGAGTCACACTTAATGCTAGTGGTGAGTTACACTAAAAGCTATAAGTTACATAAGACCAAAGGTCTAGAAGATAAACAGCTTGAGGATTAATAAATAATCCCAATACCTGCCCGCAGTCGCAGCGGGAGGAGCACGAACGCAAAGACTGGACCGAAAATCAGTAAATAACTGAACTGGTAAGCCTTTGGTCATGATATCCGCGAACTGGTGTGAGGAAGGGACGTAAAGAACACGTACTTGTCCCAAAGCCACCTTTTCACGGACAAAATGGATGTCGATCTCAATATGCTTCGTCCGACGATGATGCACTGGATTGGCTGTCATGTAAACAGCACTCACATTGTCACAATAGACGATAGTAGCCGAAGCAATCGGGACATGAAGTTCTTGGAGCAATTGCCGCAACCAGCAGCACTCGGCGACGGCATGGGCAACCGCACGGTACTCTGCCTCAGCACTGGAACGGGAGACAGTAGTTTGGCGTTTGGAGGACCAAGAAACCAAATTGTCTCCAAGGTAAACACAGTAGCCGGACGTAGAACGACGAGAATTGGGACAACCCGCCCAATCTGCATCGGAGTATGCTGTCAGGGATTGAATCGGGCCGGAGCCGATGTGGAGGCCGATGGAGAGACTACCCTTCACGTACCGGAGGATACGCTTGACCAAGGCAAGATGAGGCTCTCGCGGATCATGCATGAAGAGGCAGACCTGCTGAACGGCATATGCCAAATCCGGTCGAGTCAGCGTAAGGTACTGTAGGGCACCAGCAATACTCCTGTACGCCGAAGGGTCGGCTACAGGCAGTCCATCTGTGGCTGAGAGCTTGGCATGAGTGTCCACTGGTGTCGAGGTAGAGTGGCACTCGGCCATGCCGGCGCGTTGAAGAAGATCCACGGCGTACTGGCGTTGCGAGAGAAAGAGGCCATCGGGGGAACGCTTCACGGAGATGCCGAGGAAGAAGTGGAGGTCACCAAGGTCTGTCATGGCAAACTCGGAGTGAAGACGGGCCGTAAGCTGCTGAAGTAGTGTCGTGGTCGAAGCGGTGAGGATGATGTCGTCGACGTACAACAGAAGATAGGCAATGCGATCTCCATCTTTGTAAACAAAGAGAGATGTATCGGACGCCGAAGGCATAAATCCCATCTGTCGAATGTACGTGGCGAACCGTTGATACCACGCACGGGGAGCCTGCTTCAGGCCATAGAGGGACTTTTGCAACAGACAGACAGCATCAGGAGCAGTAGGATCAACAAACCCAGAGGGTTGCTGACAGTAGACAGTCTCCTTGAGGTGACCATGAAGAAAAGCGTTCTTCACGTCCAGTTGATGAATCGGCCAAGCACGGGAGGCAGCAATGCTGAGAACAACCCGTATTGTGGCCAGCTTGACAACTGGGCTAAATGTTTCGTCGTAGTCGATGCCGTGTTGTTGCGAGTAACCACGGACCACCCAGCGGGCCTTGTAGCGGGCAAGGGAGCCGTCAGAGTGGAACTTGTGCTTGAAGATCCATTTGCCCGTCGCAATGTTGGCCCTAGGCGGGCGAGAGACGAGACGCCAAGTGCCATTGTCGACCAACTCCTTGTACTCGTCGGCCATGGCAGCGCGCCAATTGGGATCAGCCAACGCGCTGTGATAGTTGGCCGGGACAGGAGAGGCGGCGGCTTGTGTAGCCGTGTATGTCAGGCGGTCGACTGGCCGCAGGGAGCCACTCTGAGAGCGTGTCACCATGGAATGCGGCTGAGGAGCAGCAACCGCATTAGTCACGGCGGTTGAAGATGATGGCGGGACCGTCGTGACAGGCCGACGAGTGTAGACGTGGCGGAAGGGTGACACGATGGTGCTGGCCCGGGTGGCACTACCCGGCGGGGTAGCGTCGGCGGAGGAGGTGCCAACCAAGGGGGCACCAGCCGATGGGGCCTCGCTGGCCACGGTGACTGTGCCGGCCGACAAGCGACGGCTGGGGAGGGGTAGATACGGTTGCTCAACCTCCGTGGAGGGAGCCACCGTGAGTGGTCGCGGCTGCTCAACCTCCAAGGAGGGAGCGTCTGCTGGAGAGAGTCCTTGCAGCAAAAAGTCAAAAGACGAGGCAGCAGGGGGAGTGGCCGCAAAAGGAAATTGCGATTCGTCAAACACGACGTGGCGCGAAATGATGATGCGGTGGGTAGAGAGATCCAGACATCGGTATCCCTTGTGGGAGGTCGGGTACCCAAGAAAAACACAAGCCGTCGAGCGAGGGGAAAGCTTATGTGGAGTCGTGGCACTCAAATTTGGGTAACAGAGACAGCCAAATACCCGAAGGTGGGAGAAGTCTGGAATAGTGCGATGAAGAAGCTGAAAAGGCAGTGATTGGTGGATGGAAGAGGAGGGTCTCCGATTGAGAAGGTATGTGGCGGTGGCGAGAGCCTCAGCCCAGTAGGACGGAGGCATGGAAGCCTGAATAAGGAGGGTGCGTATGGAGTTGTTGATGGTGCGGAGCATTCGTTCGGCTTTACCATTTTGAGGGGAAGTGTAAGGGCAGGATAGTCGGAGCTGGGTGCCGCGACTAGCGAGAAAGGTAGTGATGGCGGTGTTGACGAACTCTCTGCCGTTATCAGCTTGAAAAGATTTTAGTGGCAGACCAAACTGGGTGGAAACATACTCGACAAACTCAACAATATGACGATGAACATCAGATTTTAGTCGGAGCAGAAAGGTCCAACAGAAATGACTGAAATCATCAAGCACCACTAAGTAATATTTAAAGCCTGAAGTACTCATCACCGGAGAAGTCCACACATCGCAATGGACAAGCTCAAAAGGCACGGAAGTGCGAGAGGATGAGTTATGAAACGGTAATCTGGTATGTTTGCCTAATTGACACGCATGACATAAGGACGTGTCTATTTTATTACAGGAAATGGAAGCTATATTTCGAAGACCGTGGATGGCGGCAGGACCAGGATGACCGAGACGACAATGCCAAAGCGTGGAGGAAGTGGCGAGAAGGCCGTGGGCAGCACTGGAGGGAGTGGCAGCTGGAAGGGTGTAGAGTTCCCCGCGGCTATTGCAGCGAAGAATCACGCGCCGGGTCTGAAGGTCCTTAACAGAGAAACCAAATTCATCAAACTCAATGGAACATTTATTGTCGCGGGTAAACTGACGAACTGAAAGTAAATTACGAACTAGGGAAGGGGCGACAAGGATGTTATTGAGTGCAAATTTTGTGGTTCCTATGGGAAGGAATGAAGTGCCACGACAAATAACAGGGATAGTGTGACCATTTCCAACAGTAATAAAAGTGTGGGAATTAGGCAAGCGAGTAACGAGGATACCATCAATGGAGGACATGTGAGATGTCGCGCCGGTGTCCAAAACCCAGTTGTTTGGACTTTGGAAGGCCGGGCATGGGGCTCCAGGCCAGATGCTGGGCCAGCGCTGATTGCTGGGCCGGCCAGGGGTTAAAGCAAACCCAAGGCCCGGCCGGCCTCCAACCAGGGTTTGCTACCCCCTGGTAGCCGCCGCCACCACCAGGGAGAGCGCCGCCACCGCCCGTGGAGAAGCCGGGTCGAGCGCCGCCACCTCCTGTGCCCCCTGTCCACTCCAATATTCCACGCTTGAGACTTGAGGGGGTCTCGCGTGAGGGGGAGTGTTGGAGTGTATAAAGTGAATTGCCCGCCTTTCCCTATCAGCTTAGGCTTTTAGGTGTAACTGGCCGGTGCATGCAACTTAACATGGTATCAGAGCTTAGGCTCTTACCTTCTTCTCCGCTGCTCTAGCCTTCTCCACCATGTCGACTGAATCTACTCAATCCTCCACCTCCTCGGCTTCCAGTGGTGGATCTTCTTCCACCACCGAGTTCCTTCACCCCTATGCCACCGTCGCTGTCAAATCACATGTCCCCATCACTCTAGAAAACACACTTAATGCTAGTGGTGAGTTACACTAAAAGCTATAAGTTACATAAGACCAAAGGTCTAGAAGATAAACAGCTTGAGGATTAATAAATAATCCTAATACTTTCCACAGTTTTTCATACAGTCATCGCCTCCTGCCTCGAGTGTCGCTGCATGAGTCTGGCAGTCCACTTTAATTGCCACTGCCATCCATCAACTCATGTTTAATGCACTGGGTATTTTCTCAAAACAATGCCTTGCTAAACTAAGAGCCACACATTGACAACAATTGTTGGTTTTGTTATGCTAGAGGGATCATGCAGAATGCCAATAGCTTATAAATCACCTCTACTTCAAAATGTTCAAGAACGATGTTCTAAGTTTGATGATACTATGATAAGGTATCATGGTTTTTTTAAAAAAAACCCTATTCTAAGTGTGTTCAATATATTGGCTAAACGTGCTTCTGCACCAGCATGATTATTGCAATAGTTGAGTTTTTCATTGAAGGCCTTTCGTGTTCGTGGAGAAAATATGTTTTCCAGTGAAGCAAATATTTCTAATTTTATGTATAAAACTTTTAAAATATAAATTATCAAACCCCTTTGGAAGCTAAAATTAAATCGTTATGCCTTTAGGTTTAAGGTGCTGAGTTCTGACTGGCAAGCTTATTTGCTTGCCTATTCTATCACCTAAGAGTGATCAGTGAGGTGTTTCTTCTTCCTCATGGGCTTTCCTCTCTTTCTCTTGTTCCCTTTTGTTTTCTTGGACGTCAGCCAAGTGCACTGTGCCATGGGCAATTTGGCCATATTGAAAAGTATAATGGAGGTTAACGATGAGGAGGTGATGGAATTGACATGGAGGGGACCACACATTTCTTAGGAACATGGAAGGGATTGAGTAAAACTCGAGAGCATGCTAGAAATTTTCCCATTTTATTTCATGAGTTCAGGATGGAAGGAATAATACATGAAAATTAGGACTTTAGGGCTTGGGAATTGTATGTTTAGTTTAGTGCATTAGATGAAGGTCCTGTGCACTACGAAACTCCAGTTCTTTTGCTTAATAAATTATGCTATTCTGTCCTATAGCTCTCTTTGTACCTATTTGCAGTCAACTCATTGTTAGTGTGATCGAATATATCGAGTTTACCTCTTCCTTATGTGACATTCTATATAGAGGGTTCACTTTTGGGTTAAAAGTCAACAGTGACGAAGAAAGGTAGGAAAGTTTCTCATGTGCTCTTTTCTAGATTATTTAAAGTTAACAGACTGCTTCTTCACAGGATAGATTCTCTATCTTTTAAAAGGTTTAATTTTATATTTCAAGCTACATGAGCATGCACCTTTGCCATTAATGTAATCAGTTATCAAATCCCAACAAGCAAAAGCAGTGAAAAGGAAATTCTTTCTGCATTGTTGGTGGCTCTGGCTCCTTAGTTTACAGTTTAGATACCCCAAGACTTTCACTTTTCCTAGTGGTTTAGTTCCACATCATTGTGATGGATCATAAAATATGATTGTGTGCTCCTTGCTTCATTAACACAAGTTACGATGATGAGTGCTTTGCTTTCATGTATCTGTTTTCTTGAAGAAACATATAGCTTTGTACTGAGCTTTTCTGTTGCTGACTGATCATGATCAGACCACTGGTTCTTTGGTAGTTTTTTTTACTTGTCTTGATTCTTGAAGAAACGACAGAAGTTTACAGCTTTTAATACATTTAGGGCCATAGTAAACTACAGAATAAAAGCTCAGTGATGGCAACCTCCAGGCTAACTTTGTACTCTTTTCTTATGGATAGTATTTTGTAGGAAGCTCATATGTACAAATACAGGTATCCAATGATTTTGGTGTCTCACCTTCCATCGTTGGTGCTGGACAACAGACCACTTGCCTTTCGTTGGAAGTTCATATGTACAAATACTGCTTATATACTGAATGATTTCAGTGGCTCACCTCCCTCATCAGTGCTGGATAGCGGACCCTTGCATGAAGAGGCTGCCTAATCGAGGAAACTATGTCTTCTCTGACCAGACCTTAGAAACCATCGGCCACATCTTAGTCTTTCCCGGAATCCCTGCAGGTTCGGTGGTTAATTCTAAGTGCCTTTAACCTGAGTACAGACAAGCTGCTTCTCAAGCAGTTAGAACAATTTTGAGGTTGGCGGCTCTTGGCGAGAGGTAGATTCTGAAGCATCTGCAGCTCGGCTTTGATACCATTGAGTGGTGACTTGGATGATTTAGGAGAGAAATACTTCAACCAACTCAGCAAGCCCTGGTGCCAACTATCTATGCGGAGGAAGCGGCATTGTAGGTTGACAGGAGCAACAATCCAGGAGTTTACCTAGTGGTGTTTCTTTTTCCTGGTCTAAAAAAAATGTGAGACTTTCAGTTTGGATTATCTTCTTCCCTTTTTTCCCCCTTTTTCTTGGTTGATCTTCATCCAGTTGGTTGTTTTCTCTAAACTCAAGTTCCTTAATACATGCACAAATACCCAATATTTTGTGTATACCATAAAAAATAATTGATCTGCTGATCCAAAAATTATTATCACTTATTACGTCAATAGTTTATGTGATTTGTTTTGTAAACCTCAAGCAATGATACTCTTTTATTGTTGATTATTTCCCCCCATTTTTTGTACCATCCATTGATCCATTATTTGTATGCATTGATTACCTTTTCCCCTTCGCAGCATTTAAATTAATCCGTTATGCTGCCTACTGTCAATATGCCCTCATTTGATGCAGGTTTATCTGTTAAGCATTACTAATAGAAACATCATGTGGCAGTTTCTTGGGGATGCCCTTCTGTGATGCTATGAAGATTTGCAGCCCCTGGCCATTGAAGTGATTTTTTTTCCACATATGTCAGACTTATTTTGGAAGATCTTGCATTAAGAGAGTGGCAAATGGCCAAACGCTCACTCAATTCATGCTCAAATTACTGAAGGTATCAAGCTGTGAGGTATGGTTTCCATCATTTTTATTTGTTAACTTCAGGGATCCCTCTAACTGGTGGTTTGGTACTTATCATAATCTTTAGGCAGTATCTATTTCATATACTCATATTGATGATACTTACTGCACAATTGTACATTAAGTACATATTTATGTGTTAGTATCAACTATCAACTCCTGTCCCAAAAAAAAAACTGAACCTCATAGGCTCAGACGTCAGTGCAGTAACCTTTTTTCTCTAATACCAGGATGTGCACAATATGGCTACAAATACGGATGTTTAAAGCAATAATATAGTCTAAATATGTGAACGACCCCTAGCACCATATTTTACTGCAAAAATATGCGTTAGGCAGCATTTTAACATCCATGGACTGTAAAATATTCAGGCAACCATAACACGTTGGACACCCAGTAACATGTACACACTACAGTTATGTACCTCATTTCTTCAGAGGGAAGGATATCTCTGTCAGATCGACAAGGCCATCGCGCTAGTGGGTTCCAAAACTCTCTGGGACTCTAGAAAAAAAAAGGGTAATGTATGCCGGTCGTCCATGCTACCATCTGCACAAAATTTTCTATTCTCACCCTTTTTTTTTAGAACATTATTGTCTCTCCTTGACCTCTTATTGGGAAGTATATACTTACTCCAAGTCATGTCATGTAGTACTAACTGCAAGAATGCTGGGTATGAGACTTGGGTCCATGACATGTGTAAGGACTGTATACTGTTAGAGAAAGGGTAGATTGGAACTGTTCCTTCACTGAAATAAAGGCAATGGCATTCTTGGAGTGCTGTGACTGCAAGAATCCTGAAAAGTGATGGTTCAAGAGATCGCTATGTACGGTAGTGGTGTGGCTAAAGAGGAATCCAGTGGGAATCCAGGAGGAAGTATACTGGGAGAAATGGCAGGCACGAGCTGCATCTCAGATCCTCCATCATTGGAAGATGGATCCTTGTAACATGTGCTGAGTGTGCAGTAGCAGTGATTTGGGTCTGATTGGCACAATGGCAGGTAGTTGCTGTTCTCTATGGCACAAAGGCCACAATTCGCTTGCACCCACTGAGGAAGCTAGTTGTTGGATTTCCCTTTTTCTGGTGCCCCACAACAGGTGAGATGTTTGGTTTCCTAGGGTTTTGTTAGAGCTGTTGATGTTTGTTTAGGCTTCATCTCTTCCCACATAGTGTAGGAAATGTGTGCGGTCTGCATGTTGATAACAGTAGAATTTCAGAAATCAGGTGAAAATGATTCTATTTTGTGTTGCTACTTGCTACGTTGCCGCACCGATCACGCCACACCAGTGCTACCACCATAAGAATTGCTGCAGCATTTGTCTTAGTCCTGCTGCACACCTGGACCTTTTTGTAGGTTCTCATCTTACCTTTATAGCTGTGATCAACCTCTGTGGCTCTGTGACCTGCTACAGAAAATACTTTTCTTGACCCCTGTAACTTCCATTCTCGTGTTACCCGCCGCCCATATTGTCTGTGCTCCAATTACAGAGCTGGGTAGTGGGTACGCTACATAAAGTCCGGTAAGGTGTAAAGAAAAATAGCAGAAGGCTAAGGCAGTGAGAGGTTGAGGATACCTTTTTTAATGGAATTCTATACTTACTGGAAATAGTCATATCTGCATCATTGCAATTAGATTCTTCCTGTTCTTGGCAAATTTATGTTCATTCTCAGTAGAACTTGGAATCATTTTAAGTGCAGTGCCAATTCTAGGCATCCTTATTTGTTTGCTCGGAGTTGACTCTCAAATTGTTAGGCCCTACCATGGAGAGATGTTGGGGATAGCACTATTTTTTATGTAGGGATCTTCCCTACAATGAAAGGAAAAATGGAAATTAGGTAGAAGTGTACAATGCTTGGTCGGTTTATAGAGATAATTTGTCTGCTGCAGTGCCACGATGATGGGTTCAGCATGAAGTGCTGACGGCTGGCATCTGTTTATGCCTAATAATTCCTCTGAATGGGCATTGTGATAGAAGCAAGATGCTCCATGAACAATCATTGGAAAGTTCAAGTCCAAAATTTCTGATCTGCCGAGGCCCCAGTAAGCGTCCTGATTCAAAGAATCTTTCTTAAATCCTAATTCATCCTATTCTGGAGATTTTTGTGGTGCTAAACACTGACGAAGTTCTATTTGTCTCCAGAAAACTGCTCGGTGATTATGCTCCATGGATGCTTCAAGGAGAGATTTTGCAGGTGAACAGTCTAGCTTAAAGAATAGCACGTATAGCTTCAGTTGCATACTTACCTGTAGGCTTCTGAGCATTATTCCTTTTTAAACTGGGTTTGCTCACTGCTGGGAGAGAATAAATCATGGCACGCGAAGTAACCTATCGCAGTTGCTTTTGTTAATCTATGCACTTCACTTCTTTTTAGAAATCTTGCTTTAGTTAACATAGCTTTAACAATTGAAGAAACGATGACTACGTACTTAATTCCTCGTCTAAAAAAAGTGTCGTCTCATGATGATCTATCTTGCTCAGGATTACGCGGTCATGCACAGTTCATTGATTAAACTATGTCACTCACTACTCACTGCTAATAGGCTCTGATGTCCTATGCATGTTCCAGTTTATTCAGGGCTTGCCACACGTCCATCCAGTATCTACGTAACCCTTAATTGGTACACACTTGTTTATATTATTTTTAAATGAGCGTACTTGATCTCAGTTAAATTATGAGGCTACTTACATGGGGGTATATAGTGGAAAGGAGCCAGCTAAGCTGTAGGCATGCATTCAAAAGCTGGGCATACAAACTATAGACGAGAGCCACCCTCGAGAACTTCCTCTCTTCTTCCGTTCATCCTTTTCCCTCTAGCTATTCTGTACTTAAACAACAATAGCAGTCCCGCTAGATTGCTCCACCAACCTCCTCAACACATCCAGGATTCTTACATATCATTCACTTCTTCACCAAGTCTTCTGGCGATACACAACATATCTGTTAGATCCTTTTCTGCCGTGCATGTGTTCATGTACAACAACGTCGAGATTGAAGCCAACACAGCCATGCACTACTAGCTAGATCGAGCAAACACCATTTGAAAGCCAATATACCTGCATGGACCCTTGGAGTGAAATTGAGGGCAAGAGAGCCCATGATCCTATCTTCCAAAACTACTTCAGCCAAAACTGCCGCCAATCTGTTGATGGTTTCTGCAAGAAGAGGAGCGCAGATGCTGCCGTCGCTCGCGCCGAGCGATGCATCCGGGTTCTGGGGCCAATCATCGTGGGTGCTGGACCATCAGGGCTCGCTGTTGCTGCATGTCTCAAGGAGAAGGGAGTTGACAGTCTTGTTCTCGAGCGCTCCAACTGCATAGCTTCCCTTTGGCAGCTGAAGACATACGATCGTCTCAGCCTTCATCTTCCTCGCCAATTCTGTGAGCTTCCCCTCATGCCTTTTCCTGCCTACTACCCTATTTATCCCTCAAAGCAGCAGTTTGTAGCCTACCTGGAGAGCTACGCTGCAAGGTTTGGGATCTGCCCCACGTACAACCGGACGGTGGTGTGTGCAGAATATGATGAGCAGCTTCAGTTATGGCGGGTGAGGACACGGGCCACCGGCATAATGGGAGAGGAGGTCGAGTATGTGTCTCGGTGGTTGGTTGTGGCCACCGGTGAGAACGCCGAGGTTGTGCTGCCAGAGATTGATGGCCTAGACGACTTCAAGGGAACTGTTATGCACACCAGTTCATATAAAAGTGGCGGTGCATTTGCTGGGAAGCGTGTTCTCGTTGTTGGGAGTGGCAACTCCGGCATGGAGGTGTGCCTAGACCTCTGCAACCACAATGCAAATCCCCATATTGTAGTAAGAGACGCTGTACGTGACTTCTCTCCTCTCTTCTTTATCAGTTCTTTTGTCAATGTTATTGAGTAGTATTACTTAACCGTAAGTGTTCTATAACTTTTATTAGTTTCCTACTCTGAAGCCTAAACCCTATAAGAATTGATAGTCCTAGGCTGTAATGATAGGAGGTGGTGCCCCTGGGTTCCTGTTTTAGGTTATAATTCTCGGAGTGCTTGTTTTGTTTATGTCGGATGTCAGCGGCTCGAGTGTGCTTGCTCATGAACATGGTGTCTGAAATCATTAGCATGAACCAAACCAATATTTTTCAAGGCCCATTTGGTTCTTTGCACCTGCAGCACACTTGCCATTAATTTATGTATAGGTTCAGGGTTAAGAGCAAGCTGTCACTTGAGGAAAGGAGAGATTCTTGAAACGGAAGGCTTCTCTGGCTGCTGTTCGGTCGTTCTTTCTCGGGATTCATTCCCACGCGTGTGTACTCGCAGCTTTTCTGGCCATCTCTGCGTGACTGCGTCCTTCATGTCCATTTTCTTTTGTTTCTTTGATTAGCGTTCTGCTTGTAGTTTTCTTGTCCCAAGGATAGTGCAAAGAGCTTTGTCATCTATACTCCATGGAAAAATAATTATCTGTGAACATTAGCCATGCATGGGTCCCCATCACCACCACGAGAGCATAGCATAAGTCTGTCACTTAAAAAGAAACATTAACAAAATGGCTTGAGAACCTACCTTTCATGACTAGGTGCATTCCTTTCTCACAGCTCTTTCATCTTTCGAAGAGCTTGGCGAGGTTAAAAAAATGCTACCGGGGTTTTTTGCATACTATATTATGTTGTAGATAAGGGAATAAGTTTGGTCCAGGGTGTGTGTTTCAAATGGGTCATGTTGCTTCTTGTAGGTTGTAGCATGCGGAAAGCAGGCCTTGCAAAACAGAGATTTATTCTGAATAATTTTTATGTTCCAATCATTAGTCCAAGTGTTCCATTGCCTTTTTGTTGAGCGCTAAGTAAGATTTTATTCATCATTGGCAGGTACACATCTTGCCCAGGGAGATGCTGGGTCAGTCCACCTTTGGGCTGTCAATGTGGCTGCTCAAGTGGCTCCCAGTCCACGTGGTGGACCGAATTCTACTGCTCATAGCTCAGACCATGCTTGGGGATACTGCTCAGCTTGGGCTAAAGCGTCCTACCATCGGTCCTCTCGAGCTCAAGTCACTCTCAGGGAAGACCCCAGTTCTTGACGTCGGCACATTTGCAAAGATTAAGTCTGGTGACATCAAGGTTTGTTTCACTATAACTGAAGTACAAATCAGCATGAAAATGATTGTTCAATAGAGAGAATACATTGATCTACTATCATTAGTCAACTGACCTGTAACTTCTTTTTTCTGTCCAAATGATTGAACTGTACAGGTACGGCCGGCCATAAAACAAATATCAGGGAGACAGGTAGAGTTCATGGACACAAGGTTGGAGGAGTTTGATGTCATTGTGCTTGCCACCGGCTACAAGAGCAACGTTCCCTTCTGGTTAAAGGTACGATTACCCTTTTATGGATCATAGATGCGTGACTGTAAAAAATTTCTCCCTTCATTTATAGAAGTATATTTTCTAGATGATAGAAGTAAATCCGTTTGCAAACTGGTAAACTCCGTGCATCATCTTCGTCCTGATCTCTAAATCAAATGGGGGTTTGCTTTGAAATTGGCAGGACCGGGAGTTGTTTTCCGAAAAGGATGGGTTGCCAAGGAAGGCATTTCCAAACGGTTGGAAGGGTGAGAACGGGCTCTACTCGGTCGGGTTCACCCGGCGCGGGCTGATGGGAACATCGGTGGATGCTCGGAGAATTGCTCACGACATTGAGCAGCAATGGAAGGCCAGAGGGAAGCACCCGGGCGTGTTGCTCTAGCTCCCCGTCCCCTCGTTCGCCACGGTT